TGTGTGTGTGTGTGTGTGTGTGTGTGTGTGTGTGTGTGTGTGCATGCCAGTTCTGAAGCTTCTTTGTCTTCATGCTTTCCCTTGGCCTTTTCATTTCAAGGCTAGAGCCCTACCACACTTGAACCACAGCTCCACTTTTGGCTTTTTGTGGTTAAGTGTAAATATAAGTCTCACTGATAATTCTACCTGGAATGGCTTTGAACTATGATCCTCAGATCTCAGCCTCTTGAGTAGCTAGGATTATAGGCATGAGCCACCAACACCTGGCTAGAAAATGCTCATTATTCATGGCCTTTTAGCTAAGATCAAGGGTGGAAACTTCCCTGTTTGGGGGAAGAACTGATAATAGTTCTGACTAGGCTTGTGGCTGCCATCTTGGATGTGGTACCACAACTCCAGCACTACTGGTTCTGGGTTCCACGGTTTTTTCTAGTATCTGGCGGGACTCCATTCTGTTCTCTGTAGAGGCTGGTGTGAAGGACATTGGAAGTTTGCAGCTTGGAGACACACAGAGGTAGCTGCTGTGTTTAGGTAATTACATGTCTAGGAGGTTAACTAATGCTTTTTTTTTTTTCCAATTGAAGATCTCTTTGATCCCTGATGACAATGGACGACGATGTCAGAAGACGCAGACTGTTCCAGACAGCAGAGACCCTGCTTTCCACGAGCACTTCTTTTTGTAAGTGTCTGGGGCAGCTGGGCCAGCCCTTGAGAGGACAGGGAGGGAGTGTTTATCTGGAAACGGGTTGCCAGATCTAGGTCTAGATCTAGGCAGAAAAATAGTGACTTCTAAAGGATGTCTTTGTTTTCTCACTCCTTGTGTCCTTCATCCCCTGGCTGGGGGCCCAGGGTGAGGTCCACAGTGAGAAGATATCACTTGGCTGGGTCTCATAATGACATGCCCAGTCAGGGACAGCCAGCCCCTAAAAAGTGCACAATTTCCCACTGTGCCTCTGATCAGGCCTTCGCCTTCAGCAGAGGGGGTTTTCCAAGTGGACAGAAGGACATTTAGCCTCCTTATCCTCCTTTTTATTTAAATCTGTAATCTCTTTGAGCCTGAACTTCCTCATTTATAAAGTGAGGCTAATAATAGACCTATCTCGGGAGCTGGGAGCTATAAATATGAAAATGCCTAGCAGTGTGGGAGATGCTGTTATTATTTATTACTCCCAATTCTGTACCCTGGGGCCAAGGGGAAGGTCATGGTCACTGGGCCTTTTCCTATTAGTGAAAATTAATAATAATGTTTTGGATTATTCTTCAGTTCACAAGGTAACTTCACATATTATAAAAAAATTAGAAAATGTAAATGATCAAAACAAAGAAAACACCTGTCAGTTGCACCACTCAGCTCTGCAAGTGCATTTCTCGTGGGCTCCTTTCATTTGTGTGGGTGTGGATTTCTGGGCATGTTTACAGAATGGGATTGTTTTATAATGGTGTCGTGTAACCTCTTCTTTGTCCTTTAACAATGTAATGTAAACTGTATTCTGCACGTAAGTACTCATCCCCCCCCACAATTTGTAGTGTATATATATTGTTTTTTAAAAACCAGCTGTTCAGGATCTTTAAAAAATTTTTGCAATCATGACCTGCTCTGTGGGTCTGGCCTGGCCTGGAGTTTGGCCTTCCTAACACGCTGATCATCTCATTTGCTTCCTAGTCCTGTCCCAGAGGAGGACCATCAGAAGCGTCTTCTGGTTACTGTATGGAACAAGGCCAGTACAACCAGGTAAGGAGATGTCCTGAGCTGGACTGAGACCCAGCTCTGGGCTGTGACAGTCAGGTGGCTGGCACACCGAAGTTGCTCAATTAGTGCATTCTGGATAACTAAGTGGTTGAGACCACACTAAACTGCAGAGGCTGCTCACTGCCTTTCCTCCCCCCACCCCCCGCCACCCCGCCACCCAGTCCTCATCACTCCAACCTTGTCATCAGTGGGCATCAGCAAGGTATTGTGTTGTACAGCAGGGGCGCCACCCAGCCTACACCTGAGCTCTGTTCTCAAGGGGCCTTACTGCTCAGGTGCTGTACCAAGATAAATTCTAGTACCAACATGCACATAATCAGCTCCACAGGACTGTGCACCTTGTGAAAACTAGGAGGCCTGTATCCCTTTTAGTCACCACTGTCTTTACAGAACTGCATGTGGGAATAAAAGGAGGAAATGAGTCACAAGGGCAGGGAGGACAAGGAGGAGAGGGGAGAAGGGGAGCACGCTGCCGGCCGAGCTGTGCCAGGAGGGCTTTGTGGGGAAAGTGAGATTTTAAACCTGGGCAGAGGTGACCAGAAGAGAAGATCAGGAGGTGTTCCATGGAGGACACAGCATGGAAGAAGTCAAGGAGGCAGGAATATGTAGGATAGGCCCATGCTACCCATGAAGGGATGGTTTTAGGGGACAGAAGAATCCAAACAGGTTGATCCTGTGGGCTGGGTAGGATATAGGAGAAGAGATGAGGACAGTAATGACAGTACAGAGCAGGGAAGGAAGGAGTAACCGGGAGGTGAGTAAGAGCGAGAGGATTGGCTGCTAAAGAAAGAGGAGTGGGAGCAATTAACTGGGAGGCCCACTGTGAGCAGCAGGGGCGCAGTTAGCAGAGATAGCCTAAGGAATCTGGATGAATTGGGAGGGGGGCAGTAATTTGTCAAGCAATTACAGAGCTGAATGAGACCGAAAAGGAGCTTATATGAATAAAAGGCGTTCAACTCATCAGTGTAGACTTGGAAAATGTTGGATACTTGTGTGTGTGTGTGTGTGTGTTTGTGTGTGTGTTAGAGCTAGAACCTTTTTGCAAGCTAGGCAAGCACTCTCCTGATGAACTATATCCCTAATCCCTGAATGCTTTTTAGAGTCCTAAATTTTATTAGCTAGTATACTTTTAAAAGTTCAGCCCCATTGAACCTTCAGAAGAAAGCATATTTATTTTGACTGAGCACTGCTTTTCAGGTGTGATATAGAGTGATATTCATAATAATGTAGACATTGTCCACTCATCCATCCATCTATCCATCCATTCAACTGTGATTTTCTACCACCAACATTCTAGGTGCTGAGGACTCAGTGGGTCCTGTTTGGAGGGTTACTGATAGAGACTTGAGAATATGGTTGAGAAAGAGCAAGCATTTGTGGGTCTGATCTTGAGTCAGAGCTTAACAGTGTATTACTTAGGTAAGGTTTTGTTTTTGTTTTTTGTGTCAGGCCTAGGTGTTGTCCCTGAGCTTTTTTTTTTTTTTTGGAGTCTGGTCATGGGGCCTGAACTCTGGGCCTGGGCGCTGTCCCTCAGCTCTTCAGCTCAAGGCTAGCGCTCTACCACTTCAGTCACAGCGCCACTTCCGGCTTTTTTCTTTTTGCTTTATGTGGTGCTGAGGAATCGAACCCAGGGCCTCAGGCATGCAAGGCAAGCGCTCTACCACTGAGCCATCTTCCCAGCCCCAGCCTTTTTTTTTTTCCCCTCAAACCTAGTGCTCTGCCATTTGAGCCACAGCTCCACTTAAAACTTTTTTTTTGGAGTAGTTTATTAGAGATAAGAGTCTCACGGATTTTCTTGTCCTGCTGGCTTCAAACCTCGATCCTCAAATCTCAGTCTCGTGAGTCACTAGGATTACAGGCATGAGGTGCCTGTTCGGTTTTTGTTTGTGAGATAAGGCCTCTCTTTATAGCCCAGGCTGGCCTAAAACTCTCAACCTACTGAATTATAGGCATGCACCACCATACTCAGCTCATGTATGCAGCTTTGTCCTAAGTTTCCCGAAGATTAAACTTAAGGTAAAAAAGCTTAGTATCTTGTTCCAAGTCACACAGGCAGTGAACAGTGGAACCTGAATGGAAGTCCAGGCAGTTGGATTCAGCCCTTTACTCTTGTGCCTTGTGCACCAGGGAAAGGGCAGAAGAGAACCCATCAGAGCAGAGGGGGTATGAATAGAGGGGAGGAGTGAGGAGTTACTTGCAGCGGTTTTGGTTGGTTGTGGAGGTCAAGTGAAAAGCACATCAAGCGGCTCTGTAGTTGTCTTTGGAGAAGGGTTTCCTCCTCAGGGCCAGTGGTTCACAGTCTTGTGTTCAAATCTCATGAGGGCCCTTGTGAGGAGTGCAAGCTCCAAGGTGCTGCATCAGATGAATGAACTCCAAATCTTCATGGGCAGGGTACAGGAACCTGTGTTTAAACAAGTTATTTGTCCACTGGGAGGCACTGGAGGGCATTGAGCAAGGCAATGATGATGTACAATCTACGTCTATGGTTGTGATAGGTCTTTGGGTGAGAGAGATGCTTTGGCATAGAAGAAAGGGGAATAGGGAACCAGGATCTATTTGGAAGATACTTCTCAATGCTTAATAGTACTTACTGGTCAGGCACTGCTGGCTCACCTGTAATCCTAGCTACTCAGGAGGTTAAGTCCTTCAAGGATCATAGTTCAAAGCAGCCTAGGCAGAAAAGTCCATGAGACTACATCTGTAAAATAACCAGCATAAAGCAGGCTAGAAGCTGGGCACAGGTGGCTCATGCCTGTTATCCTAACTACTCAGGAGGCTGAGATCTGAGGATTGAGGTTTGAAGCCAGTCTGGGCAATAAAAGTCTGAGAGACTCTTATCTCCACTTAACCAGCAAAAAGCTGAAAATGGAGCTGTGGACCAAGTGGTAGAGCACTAGCTTTGGGCACAAAAGCTCACAGAGTAAGCTCAGGCCTTCAGTTTAAGCCACAGGACTCTTCCCTACACCAAAAAATCAGGCTAGTGGCATGGCTCAAGTGGTACAGTGCCAGCAGAGCTAGCAAGCAAGTGAAGCAAGTATGAGAAGGATGAGGTCCTGAGTTCAAATCTCAGTACTGCCCAAATAGTACTTATTGGTTATTTGCTATGAGAGCAAGTTGAGAAGTTAAAGATAGTCTTGAGTAGCTGGTGGTAACCCCTAAGCCAGACATAGTGTAGAGAGGAAGGTTAGTGGGTTTTGGATATAGTGAGATGCAGGTACCAGGAGAGGAGCCAGGTGAGAGTGGGGGGGGGGGGGGGGGGGGGGGGGGGGGGGTGGGGGGGGGGGGGGGGGGGGGGGGGGGAAGACAGAGAGGGAGATGGAGAGAAGGAGAGGAAGAGAGGAGAGGGGAAGGGAAAGAGACAAGGAGAGGGAGAGGGTAAGGGAGAGAGAGAAAAAAAAGAGATAAAGAAGGGGGGGAGAAGGAGAGGGAGAAGGAGAGGGAGGTAGAGAAAAAGAGATTGTTCTGTGCTTGTGAGATGAGACCAGTATGGAGCCATGACCACAAAGACAGCAGGTGAGGTTCTGGTCAGATGGGAGAGCATGAGTGGCAGACAGAGGGGTCAGGACCTGCCTTGGAAAAGCTGGGAAATGCTGATGGGGCAGTGGAGGTCTCTGCAGAGTCGGCTGGATGCCCAGCAAGCTGCTGGTGAAGGCCATGCAGCCCAGGAGTCCTTCCCTGTGCGGGAGCAGAGTGAGCTGCTCGAGCTGCTGAAGGCATCTGTCATGCAGGTCACGTTTCTGGAAGGGAAAGTGAGGCCCGGGGAAAATGAGTCAGCCCCCAGGGAGGCGGCGTGACTAGGGCAATGTCTCCACTTGTTGCCTATTTTGGGAAAGTGAGATTCCTTATTAAATAAAACATAGCCAGACTCGTGGTCACAGTCCCAGCCCAGAGCTCCAGCGGGACAGGGCAGGCTCAGACGGGCCAGAGCTGTCAGCATGAGGGGCGGCCCAGCCTCCCTCCAGGCTCCTCGGTGGGTTCTCCTTCTTGGACTCACTTGAGCGAGAAGGTCAGATGGAGATGGACAGAGAGGAATCACAGGGAATTTGAGCAATGCTGAACACTCCCAAATCAAATTGTGTTCTCGGAAAGACAGATGTTGAACTTAGCAACATGAAAGACAATTGCAGAAGAAAGGAAGCAAGCATTCACTAGCTTGTCTCTGCACCAAGCACTTTCTATATCCTGCTTCATTGAATCCTCAGAACTACCCTGAGGGATGTGAGTTGTTGTTGTTCCTAAAGGCCTGGCTCAGCGTGATAAAAAGTGTGCACCTAAGCACTACTATGTGTGGACACCAAGCACAGACTATGCACTTGCTCATCCTCACAACACCACTGGAAGGGTGTATCAAAATATCTCACCTCTCTCTCTCTCTGTATGTGTGTGTGTGTGTATATAAAAGTATATATGTATGTATGTATGAATGGCTTCTAAAGAAACCACAACAGTATCATCACACTCAGAAAGCAAGAGTAGCCCCTTAATAGCTTTGAATATATAACTAAGCTATCTGGAGGTTCCGCTCAATGATATGGTGAAAGACAAACTGAAGGGCTGGGAAGGTGGCTCAGTGGTAGAGCGCTTGCCTTGCATGCATGAGGCCCTGGGTTCGATTCCTCAGCACCACATAAGCAAAAAGCCAGAAGTGGCACTGTGGCTCAGTTGGTAGAACGCTAGCTGAAGAGCTGAGGGACAGTGTCCAGGCCCAGAGTTCAGGCCCCACAACCGACCCAAAAAAAAAAAAAAGACAAACTGAAGTTTCTAGTACTAATTATAACATTTGCTAGAATTTGTGACTGGTCAGATGTGGTAGTTCATGCCTGTAATCCCAGCTAACTAAGGAGATAGAGGTAGAAGACTTATGGTCTACCAGCCTGGGTGAAATCACAAGACCCTATCCAAAAAACAAAGCAATGACTGGAGGCTTTGAGTTCAATCCCTAGCACTATGGAGGTGGGGCAGGGGAGAACTTGTATCCAGGAAACAATCTTGTAGGAATTATAGTGACATATACCAAATTAAAAATGTGAATATGTAGATAAGCACATAAATAATATAATGCATAGTCTATAATATAATGTACAATCTATTACACAATATATAATCTACATTTACAGAGGGTCTGCTATGTGCTGAGTCCTGTTCTGAGTTCCGTAGGCATCCTCTTTCCTGTACTCGATGTTAGGAACGGACAGCGGCTTTGTGTCAGAAAGCTCATGACAGATACAGAGTCTAAGGGGAAAAAAATAGATGGAAAAATAGATACTCAAAATTAAGCCATCAAATTAAAATTTAATTGAGATTAGACACACACAGTGTTTGTCCAAAATGATCTTCTTCTCCTTCTTTCTGGCTCAGCTTCTGGGGCCTCCTGCAGGCATCTCTATCCTAAATGACCTCTTGCCTCCTGAGCCTTTGGAATTTGTTGCCTGTGTTGTTCATCTGTCAATCTCACCCTTTTTTGGTGGCAGGTCCTGTATTGATGACTTGAACCGCTATTTAAATTCCTGCCTGTTTGTCTTGTTTCCTTAACACTGCAAGCTCCTGGCTCAAAGCTGCCAGCCATGGGCTTGATGAATTCCCTCATTTGTCAAGCCTTCGCTAAGCGCACCAAGCCTGAAGCTTAGGCTTGGCAGTCAGCAGTGATTGAGGCGTGGTTTCAGAGACTCAGCACTTAGGGAAATCGCAGGCCCCTCCAGTTGATAAACTGGAGGGTCGATTGCCATATGCTCTATGTCCGGGCTGCTTGCAAAAGCGGTCTTCTTCCTCCATTGGGTCCTCAGAAGCAGCCTGCAGAAGGAGCTAATTGCAGAACTGTCAGAGAGAGGGTCCTGCTTGTGGACATTAATTGTGACAATTTACTCTGCCTGAATGATCATGAAATCATTGGAGGCCCCTTAGCAGGAAGCAAAGCTCAAGGGATGCTATTAACCATTTAGCACTCTGTAACAACAGCACCAGGGAATAAAAACTCCACTTACTGAAGAGTGGGGAGAGGCAGCATTTATTACAGCTTAATGCACTAGCCTGAGGATATAAAAACTTGCCACAGCCAGCACAAGAGCAGAGCCTATAGCATCTAGACACCATCCAAAAGGCCTCCTGAATGTGCTGACAAACAGGACATTGCAGGAGGACCTTGGCAAACTCTCCAGAAGTCCTGGCCCCAGTGGCCCTTCTAGGAGTTTCTGTTGCTTGTGTGCTGGCTGCAGCTGCTACCGCAGCTGCCACCCACTAGTGATGCTTTCTCCTTTTCCCAAGAGGGAAGAATGCTTCTTTAGGGCAATGGGGCTAGGGAAGGTGGCTGGGGAGATGCTGCTTTGTTAGGGTGACTGTATTGGTTCTTGTGCAGTAGGTGTTAATATGGCCTTGTGTGATGGGAGGGGGCTAGGCAGAGGGGGAGCAGATGGAGGCACAGCTGGAAGGCAGCTGGTGAGAAACAGCAGATGGATACAGAGGCCTCTGCCTCATGGCCATGGTTCAGAGCATGGACTGATAGGGAGGTTGGTGGTTCTCTATTGAGGACCAGCCCTTTAGCATCCTTCATCCCTGCCCCTGACTCAGCCATCTGGGAAAGCTAGTTATGTCTTCGTTGGGATTGTCAGGTGGTAAGTTGCCAACCTTTCTGGAAAATCCAAACAATATGTATTTATAGAGACCTTCTAGATCCCTGGTCCCTGCCTGGGGCAGGCGTGGCTGAGGGGCCTGCAGGATCTCTGGAGAACTTTCTCCAGACTCCTTCTTGGACTAACTGAGTTGGGATCCCCAGGTTCAAGCCTTGGAGTCCAGATATCAGGCAGGCTCTTTAGTGATGGCTGACCAGAGCTGCTTGGGGCCCTGCAACCATAGAACAAGCGACCCCCTGGGCAGTGGTGGGGAGCACACCTGAGGGCATTTACTACCTAACTAGGCAATTATTCCAGTGTGGGCACTGATGTTTGTTTCACAGGACAGAGCAAACCCCTTGCCTCTGGGAGCTTTTCCGATGTCAAATTCAACTAAATATCTATGATGTCTCTTCATTAGTAGTTACTAAGCCTGTGAATCAAGGAGAGTGACCTGGGAGAAGCAGTAAGAGAGAGAACAGGGGAAATAAAAAAAAAGCAAATTCTAAAATAACCCACAAAGAATTCTAATGTGAAGATAAAGCAGGGTGTAGTGCAATAGAAGTACTTAAAGAAACATTTCTATTGCTTTTTTTATTACAAAAGTTGTGCTTATTTCTTTCAAAACTGCAAAGACAGTGTAAAATCAAAGGAAAGAAAAACCCTTAATGATCCCCCCTGTGTGTGGTGTGTATGTAGAACTCTTCTTTATTAATTACAGCCTTATAAACTTTCTTCAGCATGGCAAGTTTTTTGCCTGCTATTACTATTAATCGCTGTCATCATTATTACAAGCTGTCAGGTGTTAATCAGTCCTGGATTGGTGGAGATTCTTCAGGAATTTTGGATTCCTGTTAATAAAGGCCAAGCTCGAACTCTATTTCTTGCCACAGTCTGACATTCTGTGAGTCTGAGCTTGGTTCACGACTGTCTCCCCTGCCTGCAGCCAGGTCAGATGGGTCATGGAGACTTTTGTGTGTCAGGGTGTACTTGGAACTTTGCCAATAAGCCATCTAAGAACTGCCTGGGCCCTTTCTGGACCGGAAACAAAGATTCTTGAACCATGGTCCTCTCCCTTCCCTCTTGCTTGAGCATCCTCAGCTCAGGTAGGGGCTGAGATTCTCTGTGAGGACCAACTCTCCCATTATCCCAGCACCGAGACAGTGAAAAACGCCATAAGGTGGTTTTGAGTTTCTGTGTGTGTGTGTGTGTGTGTGTGTGTGTGTGTGTGTGTGTGTCTGTCTGTCTGTCTGTCTGTCTGTCTTCTGTCTCTGCCTCTGTGTGTCTGTGTCTGTGTGCCTGTGGCAGTACTGGGGCTTTAACTCAGGGCCTTGTACTCTCACTTGGCTTTTTCACTCAAGACTAGTGCTCTACATCTTGAGCCACACTCCCACTCCCAGCTTTTTAGGTGATTAATTGGAGATCAGAGTCTCACAGCTTTGAACTGAGACCCTAAGATCTCATCCTCCAGAGTAGCTAGGATTATAGATGTAAGCTACCAGTGCCTGGCTGGTTCTAAGTTTTTGTGGTGGTAGAGAGAGTACTGTACCAAGGCCTAGAAAGCTCAGGTTTCCTCCAGACCAGACTACTGGCTAGTCTTGTGGCCTTGGAAGGGATCTAGCTTTAAGACTGTTTCCCCTGTAAATGAGTGAGGACTCCTCAGTGTCCACCTTGAAAAGGGAGGACAAGTGAGCCGATGTGGTGGAAGTGCTCTAAGCCACGTGAGACACTTTATGGCAGAATCACTGGATTGGCCAGGCATGGTACTGACTTTGTATTCTTCCCCCAGGCAACGTGCACTCATTGGCTGTATGAGCTTTGGGGTGAAGTCTCTCCTGACTCCAGACAAGGTGGGTCCATGGGAATCTTCTGGAGTACCATTTCCCCCAGGCCTGGGCTGCTGTTGGCAGGTCTCCCCTGAAAATCCTTGAATGGAATTCCTATCTGTGACACGGTACCCCACCAAAGCTTGGTCTCCCACCAAGACTTGTTGGCTGAGGGTTTAGGTCCCCTTCAACAGAGAGCCCCAAGGCCTCGCAGGAGGTACTGAGTTGTGATATCTGTTGTTAAGGATGTTGAATAGTCCGTGTGTGTGTGTGTGTGTGTGTGTGTACATGCATGTGCATGCACACACCCATGTGAGCACAGAGCTCCTGACCTCCCCTGGATGAAGGTCCAGGTGTGGGAGGCCAAGGGAACAGCACTGTCCTCAGGCTAGGAGAGGACTTAGAATCTGGAGAGCCTCCCACATGCTCTCCAGCCCTTTTTTACGTCTATTCAGTATTGTACCCCAACTGGAAGATGGGAGCAAGGGAGCTATGCCCTGTAGCCTTTTGCATGGCTCTGCTACGGTGAAGTGCGGGAAGAGGGGAAGGGTGGCTGTGTCTCTGTCCTCGTGATCGCCTCACTGTGGCCTCTGCTTCATTCCCCTGGGAAAAGGGCCTCAGGATGCCTGCATTTTGGCCTTTCCATCATTAATTTTTTTTTCTTTTAGTGTTGGTGCCAGGGCTTGAACTTGGAGCCTTGTGTCTTTGCTTGCTCATGGCTGATGCTCTACCATTTGAGCCACATTGCTAGTCCAGCATCTTGCTGATTAATTGGAGGTGGAGTCTGTTCAACTTTTCTGTCCAGACTGGCTTTAAACCATGATCCCCAGACCTCAGCCTCCTGAGTAGCTGGGATTTCAGGCATGAACAACCAGGGCCCAGTTTCCATCGGTCTTTCTCTCATTTCCCCTTTATTGTAAACAAACATTTATTGAGCTCTTACTGTGTACCAGGCTCATTGTCAGGCATGTCCAAGAGCTGGTGTACAATCTGCTGTGGGAAAGAGCAGGCAGGCAAGTCTCAGTGATCTCTTGGATGAGAGACTGTGGAGATTTGGTGGAGGAAATGACCTATGCCTGGAGGTCAAGAAGGTGTCTAAAGGGGCAGTTACAGCAGCCTTGGAGAGGCGGGGGGGGGGAGTGGGGGCTGCTCTGTGTCTGCTCTGGGTGCAGCTACTTACTACTTGTGTGTGAGTGTGTGTGGGGGCAGGGGGATGTTGGTGGATGCCTTCTTGTGCCTTTTCCTCTGCCTTCTTTGTCTGAATGCATCAATTCTTCTCATGACAGGAGATCAATGGCTGGTACTATTTGCTGGGAGAGGACCTGGGCCGGACCAAGCATCTGAAGGTGGCCAGACGGCGGCTCCGGCCAGCAAGAGGTGTGTGAGCACCCCTTCAGAGCCCACCTGGGCTGCCCCCTCCCCTTCCTATGTGATAGTGTTGGTCCCTGTTCTGTGGTGTTTGCCTCCCAGGTCCTGTGAGGCTACTGGGTCTAGGGACTGTTCATAAGTACCTGTTAGCATGCAAGCTGCAGGCTGCACTTGGCCATGACATTCTTTCTGGTTGACTTTTCCTTGGAGAGGACATGGACCTGACCCTGCATGTATAGCCCACCACCCTCAGGGAGCCCCTCTGGACTGCTTTGGGAACACTGGAGTGTCCGCCTCTGCAGGCAGGGAGTTTAAGCCCTTCCAAGAGCCCTAAAGCTCAGGACTTTGATTTCATTCCCGCCCCTACCCTCGGTACCATTTTATTTCTGTGTGTGCTGGTATTGGGTCTTGAACTCAGGGCCTGGATGCTATCTCTTCTTTTTCTACTCAAGGCTGATGCTCAGCCATTTCTGGCTTTTCTCTGGTTAACCAGAAATAAGTGTCTCATAGACTTTCCTGTCCATACTGGCTTTGAACTGTAATCCTAAGATCTCAGCTTCCTGAATAACTACTATTATGGGCATGAACCCGTGGGACGTGTCTTCAGTCCCTTTCAGTTCTACCCTCCCTATACATAGTCCAGCTGTAGCTTCTAATTGCCTTCCTGGCCCAAGCCTTGGGCATCACTGTATCTTGGAGGTTAGGAGTGGCCCAGATTGCCATATGGATCCATCACCAAGCCTTGCCCATGGTTAGTTGTACTTGGTTTTCACATGACAATAGAAACTCGTTTTCCTTCCTTCCTTCCTTTTTCTGTTGGTGGTAGGACTTGAACAGGGCCTGGGCACTGTCCCTGAGCTCTTTCACTCAAGGCTAGCGCTCTACAACTTTAAGCTACAACTCCACTTCCAGTTTTCTGGTGGTTAGTGGGAGATAAGAGTCTCATGGACGTCCTTGCCCAGGTTGGCTTTGAACTGCAATCCTCAGATCTTAGCCTCCTAAGTAGCCAGGATTATAGATGTGACCACCAGTGCCCAGTCACTCTCTGCTTTAAACATTACTCTTAACCTCTTAAGCCTTCAGTTTAGGTATAATCTTAATTTATACCTAAATCAAATATTGTGAAATGTGGAGAAGCAAAGAATGCATTTATCCAGTTAAGGTACTGGCTCTTCAGAGAGGGTTCTGAATAATCAAACATGCTGTGTTATTTTTCTAAGGCATGTGATTCTTGAGCAGGATATGGGAAAAGGAGAGGAGAGACCACTGATTTGTTGTAGTGGTGTTTCCATTTTTGAGTTTATGAGATAGATCCCTGTAGCTTTCCCACTTCCATCCTCATGTAAGATCTTCGTGATCTACTTTATCTTCAAATTTGAAAATAAACAATGAGCACTGCGTGTATATGTGTGTGCATGTGTACACATGCCACATGTGTGTCTGTGCCAGTACTGGAACTTATACTTAGGATCTAAGTACTGTCTCTGTTTTCCTTTGAAAGTTGATGCTCTACTGTTTGAGCCACAGTTCTATTTCTGTCATTTTGATGACTAAGTAAAGCATTTCATAGACTTTTTTTACTGGCTGGCTTTGAACCTGATCCTCAGAGCTCAGCCTCCCATTTATCTAGGATTACAGCATGAACCACTGGTGCCAGGCTCCAATAAGTACTTTGATTTTATTGTTGACTTGTATAATGGAGACAAAATGAGGTTACATTTTTTTTTGCTGTTGTTTATGTTTATCTCTAATCTACTTGGAAATATCTTTAATGATTATTTGTTTTCAAAGAGCTAAAAATTTTCTGATCACTACCTATTAAATATTTCTTTTCAATACCACAACTTTACAAAGAATTTTAAAGAAATAGGTTACTGATAAGTGTGCTTAGAATTTAGTATTTTTAAGGATGTAGTGAAGGGAATAAGTTTGTATCTTAGAATTTAATATCAACATCTAGTGAATTAACCCAAAAGTTGATGATCATGTAAAGCCATTTGGAAAAGACAAGCTTTGTCTCAGACCAGCCAAGTATGATCTTCTTTAATGGTTTAACTATATCTAAATAAAATTCTTACTTATAGGGGGCTTTTTTTTTTCAGTCTTAGAGGGTTGTAAGAACAGGGTTATCAAAGCAAACAAAATACCTATTCATCAGGCACTCATAGACATGGAAAAGTTGCTCATTAAATTGAACAAATTTCTGTTCCTAACACCTGGCTCTTTCTTTCTTTTGCCAGTCCTGGGGTTTGAACTCAGGGCCTGAGTGCTATCCCTGGGCTTTATTTGCTTAAGGCTAGCACTCTACCACTTGAGTTACAGCTCTACTCCCAGCTTTTTAGGAAGTTAATTAGAGATAAGAATCTTATAGCCGGGCGCTGGTGGCTCACACCTGCAATCCTAGCTACTGAGGAGGCTGAGATCTGAGCATCGTGGTTCAAAGCCAGCCTGGGCAGGAAAGTCTGTGAGACTCTTATCTCCAGTAAACTACTAGAAAACCGGAAGTGGCGCTGTGGCTCAAGCGGCAGAGCACTCGCCTTGAGCTGAAGAGCGCAAGGACAGTGTCCAAGCCCAGAGTTCAAGCCCCACAACCAACCGGAAAAAAAAAAAAAAAGAATCTTATGGAATTTCCTGCCTGAACTGGCTTCGAACTATGATCCTTAGGGCTCAGCCTCCTGAGTAGCTAGGATTACAGTTGTGAGCCACCCATACCTGGCTAACAGAAATTTTTCTGACTGTTCTCTGTCACTTTGTAGATGCACTGCTACAAATGCCAGGAAGTGAAGACACAGAGAATGGGGAGAAACTCCAGGTAGGTTGGGGATAAACTTGTCCGGGGCTGGTAGCACCTGAGCCTCACTCCAGGGTTCTGATCTGTGTGGTGCCCTTGGTGTTTGAACTTCTGCACTCTGAAGGGAGCATTCTTGACTTTCCTAAGGGATTTCATAGTGAAAGAGAAGCTTTTCCTGGGTTGTTGGTGGAGTGTGGAGAGAGCCAGAAAATGGAGGCAACTGGATCTTACTGACTTTTGGCCTCTAGATGCTTCATCCTCTCCTTCCCTTAGGTCTGAAGGCCGCTATTCCTCATGGTGCCATGGCTGAGTCAGCCTCTCAGGTTAGGCCTGCTGAGGTCAGGGAAAGGCTGAATCTGAGCCTGGTAGATGCCCCTCCACAAGGGCTTTAAATCTGGACAGAAACTTCCTATGGGGGGAAGATTTCATTGCAGAGCAGATGATCCACGATCTTCTCTAACAACTTAGAGAAGGAAATATCAACTCCTAGCTATTGATTAGCCTCTGAAGTGCTATTTTGACCTCATCCCGGCTGCTACCCCTGTGGTGGTTGTCACTGCTCCATTTTACAGATGAGGGGGTGCATGGGGTCCGAGGCATTAGGTCACTGTTTGTAATCACAGAGCCAATAAGAGGTAGAGGCCCGGATGGGTAGATGTAGCCATCTCCTGAGAACACTGTGCCCTGCTGTCTCCTGTGTATTGTCCGGCTGGGAAGATACTATATCCCCGTATTTCATGACATCTTACCTAGAAGGGTATTGCAGTCAAGAAAATGTATTCAGCCAGGTGCCAGGGGTTGATGTTTGTAATCCTAGCTACTCAGGAAGCTGAGATCTGAGGATCGTGGTTCAAAGCCAGCCTGGGCAGGAAAGTCCATGAAACTCTTATCTCCAATTAACCACCAGAAAACTGGAAGTGCCACTGTGGCGCAAATGGTAGAGCACTTGCCTTGAGCTGAAGAACTCAGGGACAGCACCCAGACCCAGAGTTCAAGCTCCATGACCAACCAAAAAAAGAAAAAGAAAAGAAAATGTATTTATCTCATTGGCTCCATTTAAGTGCTCCCCTATTATTCACAAAGCATTCACACCTGTGTGGACTCATCTGGCATTGGGTACTGGACAGAGTTGTGAGTCTGTCCAAGGCCTGGCTCATGTGAAGTGTCCAGTCCAGAGCTGTTTTGTCTAGTGCAGTAGCTGCTTGCTGCCTGTAGCTATTGAACACTCCATTGTAGCTGGCTCGAGAAACCCAGGAACTGAATGTCAGCTTTTTATTTCATTGTAACTAATTTTAATTTTCACCTGTCTAGTCAGTTGCCATTGTATTGGACAACATAGTATTAGAGCAACTTGCTTCAATGGAGTTTGAAAAGCTTCAGAGAGGTTTCTTTGTACCCTCTGTACCTTTTCTCTGTGTGTGCTGAGCACAGAAATGACAGTGAGCTGGGAGTTTCATGGTGAGGTGTGGGAGTCACATGGACACGGCAGGGCTCTCGTGGGCTTGGGAACATCCTACTTCATGTATGGTTCTGCACATAGCCGCAGTTCCCAGAGGGCAGGATTAGGCTGGGCACTGGTGGTTTATACCTGTAATCCTAGCTCCTCAAGAGGCTGAGATCTGGGGATCTGAAGTGAGAATGGGCAGGAATGTCTGTGAGATTTTTATCTCCAATTAACTAGCAAAAAGCCAGAAGTGGCCAGACTCTGGTGGCTCATGCCTGTAATCCTAGATACTCAGGAGACTGAGATCTGAGGATCACAGTTTGAAGCCAGCCCAGGAAGGAAAGTCCGTGAGACTCTTACCTTCAATTAACTCCCAGAAAACCAAAAGTGGAGCTGTGGCTCAAAGTGGTAGAACACTAGCCTTAAGCAAAAGAGCTCAGGGACAGTGCCCAGGCCCTGAGTTCAAGTTCCACAACTGCCCCCCCAACCCCCCACCCTGGCTTTAAAAAAAAAAAGCCAAAAGTGGAGCTGTGATTCAAGTGGCAGAGTACTACCCTCAAGCAAAAAAAAAGTTAAGGGACACCACCCTCAGTAATGCCATAACAAACAAACCTCCTGAGTTACTTGCCCACAGTCACACTGCAACCAAACCAGGGGACGGCCTCTGTCATAAGGACATGAGTGGGTGGCTGGGATTTTCAAGGGCTTCCTAGGTAGGCAAGGGGTCTGGGCTCACCCTGTGCTCTTTGTAGGATGCAATCCTAAGGCTGCAAGGCAGGAAACAGGGCCTGGAGAGTGTCCCAGCATCTGACCTTAACCTCTGTAGGCCTTGGTGTTTCATTGGCAAGATGAGGATGCTAGATCCCCTTCCACATTGACTTTATGGTCCACAAGCCATCAGACCTTTTCTGCAGCCCCCTTGCAAGGACCCCCCTGGCACGGGGGTCTCAGCCTCCAAGTGTTTTGTGTTCCTGGCTTAAGATGGGGTGTGTGTAGACATAGCCGGATCTCCAGGCTGTGTTCCCCTCCCCCCCTTCTCGGATTTGTACTTAGGGACCCTGGGACATGCAGGGGAGGCGGTGCCATTGCGGAGCAGGGCGTGTTTTCTGCCTGGGTTCCTCTCCAGCAGGCAGTGTGGGGTGTTTGTGAGAACACTGGGCTCACAAAGTGGCCCATGGCGGAGAATGCAGCCAGAACAAAGGCGCCCTCTCCCCGCCAGGCCTGGGGAATACTAACTAGTTGACAGGAATTTTAATATAAAACTCTCCCTCTTCCTTGTCATTCTGAGGTTTCAGGAAGCCTTCGGGCTTATCTGCAGAGGCACACAGTGCAGACAGGGCTTGGGGAGGTGAGAGGTGATTTCCTGCCATTCTTCTGCGGGGCGGGCTTCCCAGGGCGGTCATGCCAGGCTGACGGGCGCAGTGTGGGCTCCCGCTGCTGGGGGGGAGAGCCGGGGTTTTCATGGGGCGGCAGCCCAGGCAAGACCTGCAGCCATGAACCGCTTCAATGGGCTCTGCAAGGTGTGCTCCGAGCGCCGCTACCGCCAGGTGGGTGTATGGCCCCCTTGGGGGGGGACCTATGGGGTGTTGAGGATGGGGGGGGCTTGCCCCAGCAAGATCGTTCTCTCTTTCTCTCTACAAGACCTTTTATGCCTCCTCCAGCTCTCTGTAAGCACATTTCTGTAGAGGCACGGGCTGGGCCAAGGTGTAGCCTGTTACCTGCTACCTTGTGTTAGGGCAGCTAAGGCTGCCTCTTTGATGATCCAGCTAATTTTCTGCTATTTTTCTCTGGGGAGGGAGTGTCCATGTAAAAAGGCATCTCGGGTCTGGGACTGCAGATGGCTTGGTGGCTAAGCAGCTGAGTGTTTCTGCCAACTTTCCCAACTTCTGATGGGACAGCAGTGCCTGCTCCCCCTCTGTGTGTATTGCAATGTGCTTGGAGTGAGAGCAGGTAGTTCTGTACACCACGCGTGGTTCTCTTCCTCCAGCTTGGTCACCTCAAGGCGGGTCAGGACTCCAGTGGCTTTGGAGTTGAACTTCATTGAAAGGGTCTGGCTTCTCAGACCCCAGTCTTGGAAGTTGGGGCAGGGTGGAGAGTAACAGTACTGCTAATCCCTGGGCCTTTCTTTTCATGAACAATATGGAGGCTTTTCTCTTTTCTCTTCTCCAGCTCGAACCCAGGGCCTCAAATGTGCTAGGCAAGCACTCTACCATTGAGATACATCCCAGCCCAAGAAGGAGTCTTCTCTCTTCTCTCTCCCTTCCCCCCACCTTTCTCTCTTTCTCCCTCTCTCTCTTTTTCTCTCCCTCTCTTTCTTTCCTTCTCCTACAAGGGGCCAAAGGAGGATGAATGTAGACATTTCTTGTACAGATTCTGGAAATGTCCAAGCTGGAAAAGAGCACAAAAATTGTTCTGATTTAAAAAAAATTGAGGTCCTTCTCCTTCTTTCAATGATCACACTGGAAGCTAGGCTCTCACTCCCCTTATAGGCAGCGTACAGGTTCCTGGGATACATCCAGAGGTGCTCCCTGAGCCAGTGTCTGCTGCTCGGGGACCCAAGTGTTTCCCCTCCAGTTCTCCTCAGTTCTCAGGTCCTGTCCTACAGCCCCGCTCTGCTCCCTGTCCTCCTGCAGCTAGATAGAAAATCCCCGGTGACAGCAGAGTGGCGAGGCAGGGAGGACATGGGTGAGAAGTTGACAGGTCCAGGGTCTCTTTGCTCCCCAGGGATCAGAGGACCAGAGTGTGGTCAGAGTGGGGCCAGGCACTAAGGGGGACTGGACTTAGGATTTCAGACTCAGAGGTTCAAGATGGCTTTTCTGTTAGACACTAATGCAGATTGAGAGTGCCAAATTTTAAGTGGGACCAGGGTTTAAATCCAACTCTACTCCTGATCTGTGGCCCTGAGCATGTCACTTTACCCATCTATACCTCAGTCTCCCTCTTCCTAGAATAGGTATACTAAAATAAGGATGATGCCTATGAAGCATAGGGCCCAGTGTTTGCATCTAGGGTGTGTCCAGTAAGTTGTGGCATCTGGCAACAGAGGTGTAGCCATGACAGAGTGTTGGAGAGCAGACAGGAGGGCAGAAGAGAGGAGCTGATATGGCGCAGGCCTGGGAGGAGTAGCATTGCTTTTCCTGGACTGGAAAGAGCAAGCACTACCCCTTGTAAAGGAGCCACAGAGTAGGGCAGGGCTGCCTCCTTGCCCCCATATATGCAATGTCAGAAGTCCCAGGCCTCGGTTTCCTTTTCTCAAAAGTGAGCGTGCTAAAGCTGCCTTTCCCTTCAGGCGCAGTGATGGACAGGCGCTTAGGATATTGCCCTCAGTGCAGTCTGTGAGCATGACCACCAGGGCTCTGCTCTGCTTCCTTGTCATAGTCCAACCCTCTTGCGGAGCCAGGAGATCCGCTTGCTTCATGATGCCTGTCTCCTACCACCCCTCTGTCCACCTGCTGCTTAGGTTGTTCTCTAGGCTGCTTCTCAGAAGTTGGGTGGGAGTGGGGAGGTTTCCTGGCCCTGCCTGGACCAGGTCCTCGAAGCTCACTCTGAGGCCCACACCTGGGGCCACTTCTCAAAACCCATGTCCAGAACCCAGGGCGGGTTGGGGCCCGACCTCCAGGCAGGAGATGTCATGGCATTGTTGTGAGGTAGGACTAAAAAAAAACAATTGCTAGGAAGACTTCTGTGTGGCCTGGGGGTCCCCCGAAAAGTCCCTGCTGGTCCCACAGAGTGGCTGAGGTTCCCTGCATCTTCTCCAGGCCTCAGGCAGGCCGGCGATCAGTGGCCACTCCTGTCCGCCAGTTTTCCACACTCACTCCTCAGTTTGTTTTTCTTTCTTTCCATTTTTTTTTCTTCTTCCTGTCTTAGCTGTGTGTTTTCCCAGAATTCTTATGGGAACAGGGTATTTTCCTGCCCCCCCTCCCCCTTCCCCTTGTCTGTCAGATTTCCTGTTTTACAAACTTGCTTTGAATCTGGGCCCAGGGCTTGTGGGAAGCAGAGCCTCAGGGGCCCCAGCAGCTTCCAAGGCCCTGAGTCTCCCTAGATCTCTGCCCCCCTCCTATTTCTCATGTCTGCCCTTGGGACAGGTGACAGGTGAACTAGGTGCCCAGCCCTATGAGACAACTCTTTAGGAAGGAGACAGTAGTCCCAAGACAAGGCCAAAGTCCTTGACCTGTTCCAGGCCTGTTGAATTGGCTTCTTCCTCCACCTGCCCAGGATACCTTCCCTGTGCCTCTTGAGCCCGGCTCTATTCATGTAGGTGTTCTATATCACATCCTCCCGGAGGAACACTGCTGCCCAAGCTCACTTCAGGATTCTTTGCACTGAGTCTCTAGCAAACACTAGCCTGTTACCTAGAGTCAGAGCACAAAGGACAGTTTGTGCTGTCACAGCAAAGTCCTCCTGGTTTGCTCTACTGTTATCAACCCTGCTTTGCTTTGAAGAGGCTTGCACACCGTCTTGTCCTCTGTCTGATCTTGGTACCTCCACAGAGCCTGGCATACAGTAGGAGCTCAATACTTGTGTGATGGTTTGAAAAGACTATCCCAAACGTTAAGTCCTTTTCATTAGTCTTCTGAAAGTCGGGGCTGTGGTCCCACCATGCACCCTGCCCTTGAAGGCAGTGTGAAGTCTGGCTAGAGCAGGTTTAGCAGGACGCTTGGCTGTGCTCTCCCCCAATCTCCTCATCTGGGAGCTTTCTACCAGTTGCCTGTGGCTTTGGCCAATACTGCCCTTGAACCCCAGCACTCCTCCTCTGACCCTTGGCCTGAGGCTAAATGAGTGCATCAAAGTTTTCCCTCCCCAGTGTTCTAGGATGGCAGCCAGCAGATGGCTTTATCTTTGGGCCTTCAGTACAGAGCCAACCCTGGGCCAGTGGCCTGAGACCAATGTGAGAAAGGAAGAGGGGAGTGTGAGGCAGGCAGGGGATCGTGGGGGGAAATGGAGGGTGAGCTGTAGCTCCTTAGAGTGCTGTAGCTTCCAGGGCAAATAACCCTTCCCAGGGCCTCTCCTATGGCAGCCAGGATTACCTCCTGAGCTCTCAGCCTCCCTGCTAGGTCCACAATCTGGTGTCAAGATGCTTCGTTCCAGATAGGGACAGGGAGGAGCTGGCCAGCTCCTCTTGGCTCTGGTTCTTATGGAAAGGAGGGTGGCTCTGGGTGGGGCTTGTGGGCTTCCCAGCCTTGTGGCTCCTGGGAGTGACTGGGCAGGGCTGTGTCCTAGATCACCATCCCGAGGGGCAAGGATGGCTTTGGCTTCACTATCTGCTGTGATTCTCCGGTCCGAGTACAAGCTGTGGATTCTGGTAAGTGTCAGCCCCACTCCCCCACCAGCACCTGGCCTTGATAGCACAGGATAGAGCTAGAAAGAGAGCCCCACTGGAGCAAAGAGTCCTCTTGGGTTTTCAAAAGACAAAGAATAATATTATTTTTTTAAATAACCACAGATGAAACTGAGGCTTATGAAGATATACTCACTCCTTTTTATTTTTTTATCAAAATGAAAATAGGCTCTTACATTTTGATTCCCAGTTGGTGTTGAAGAGAAACGAAACCCAAATTTCTGTAATGACTGCTGGACACAAATGAGTTATTTGTGAGTTCCATTTGAAATGGATATTTTATCCAGTGGCAAGCCTAATTAGAAGTAGCCATTCCTTTTTCCTTTCATGAGTGAAGAGGCACATCTTACAGGTGGAAGCCAGGCTCAGTGATCAGGATGGTCTCTGTGCCCATCAGGGATGGGCAGGGGCTGGAAGTCAATGAACGGGGGGAGGAGGAAGGCATAAAGTGTGTGAGGCTGGCACACAGTGGCTCTCAGTGGGCTAGGAAGCCCTGGGTGGAAGAGTAGAAAGCATAGCTGCCCAGAACCAAGGTGATAGGCAGAGGGGAAGTGCTGGCAGAGGGTGCACCCTCGAGAGCCATCCAGTTCAAACCTTCATTTTCCAGATGGAGAAACAGAAAAAGGGTGGTCTTTGTTTGAGGTACTAATGGAAGCAAAGGACTCCAGGCCCTTAGAGGGGGTCTTGGGCTTGCAGGAAGCCCTGTATGACTTTTCTTTGTCCCTGCAGGGGGCCCAGCAGAGCGGGCAGGGCTGCAGCAGCTGGACACAGTGCTACAACTGAACGAGAGGCCGGTGGAGCACTGGAAATGTGTGGAGCTGGCACACGAGATCCGGTGACAGGGGCAGCGGGTGACTGGGGCCCCAGGATGGTGGCACATCTTCCCCACCCCCGGCTGTGGGCATGCTGCTTTGCCCTACCTTGCTCTTGCCAGTCCTTCCTTTGCCCAGCTGTGAGCAATTCATGTTGCTCCTCAGGGAATCCATTTCTTGGCCTGAAAATGGAAGGTTCAGGATCAGAGCAATTTTGGATCCCCACAGCAAACAGCAGGGAAGAAGCTCTCAAACAGTCTCCGTGGTTCATGATGTGGCTCCAGGGGCTCGCTTTCCACTTTAGCTAATTATTTCTGCTACCTACCAGCTAAGCTCTTTATTTAAAGGTATAGGTATTGCAAATGCCTTAATTACACCGTTAAAAAATTATTTTTTAAAATATTTAGTCCCTTTAAATTTGACCCCCTAGGGTAAGACTCTAATGGCTTCATTTAGGTTTCCATTTATAGCAGCTAAAGTGACTAGATGAAGCCAGGTGTGGTGGTGTGTGACTGTCATCCCAGCATGAGGCAAGAAGAGGCAGGAGGATTGTGAGTTCGAGGCCAGCTTGGGCTACACAGTGAGACCTTTCACAACAAAAGCAAACATAGAAATTAGACTGGCTGGAGGAGGGTTGCATTTAGGTATTTTGCATGCTCCAACTTGCTTGTACCTTGCCCACAAAGTTGAATATGGTGATCTCTCCTATTGGATCCTACTCAGCCACTGCTGAGAGACACCTCTACCCACTTTGCTAGCAGTCTCTGTGTTCCATAGCCTCTTCCATCCTTTCCTGCTCTGACCCAGGCATCGGTTCCCCCGTGATTGCTTCCTCTTTCTTTCTACTCTGCAGGCCCTCACCCAGGCTGACTATGATCTTCCCCAGACTCAAATCCTCTCTATGATTCCCTAACTTCCAGGAGCTGCCCCAGCGAAATCATCCTGCTCGTGTGGCGCATGGTTCCCCAGGTCAAGCCGGGGCCAGATGGAGGGGTCCTGCGGCGGGCCTCCTGCAAGTCAGCACATGACTTCCAGGCACCCCCCAACAAGAGGGAGAAGAACTGTACCCATGGGGTTCAGGCCCGGCCTGAGCAACGCCATAGCTGCCACCTGGTGTGTGACAGCTCAGATGGGCTGCTGCTGGGCGGCTGGGAGCGCTACACCGAGGTGGGCAAGCGTGGGGGCCAGCACACCCTGCCTGCGCTGTCTCGAGCCAGTGCCCCCACCGACCCCAACTATATCATCCTGGCCCCGCTGAACCCTGGGAGCCAGGTATAGACAGCTGGTATGGGGAAGGGAAAGGGCACTGGGTCCCTGTGGGAGGCTAGAAGGTCTCAGGGATTCAGAATTTGGTTGTGAGCAGCCCACTTTTGGGGGTGGTGGTGCTGGGAGTGTTGGGCAAAGAGATAGGTTTATGCCAGCTTTGGCCTCTGCAAGACTGGGTAGAGGGTAGAGATGGGCATTTTGGCCTCAGGACACATATCCAGGGCCAGACACATGCAGGCTAGAGGGTGTTAGCTTGCCCGAAGCCTGTGCCTCTCCAGGGGAATGGGCTGCCCTGGTAGGTGGTGATCCCCCAGATTCTGCATTCTCCATGGTTATATGTTGGGATGTGGACAGGGGCCCCCATAGCATCAGTCCTATGAGACACTCTGGGAAAATAGTGTTCTGAGGGCATATGAGTTTGGAAAATGTCCTGTACTCTCTTCCCTTTTGGAAGATCCCCAATGGCATTAGCCTGCTCGAGGTTCAGAGGTCATCCTGCAGTGAAGCAGGCCATCTAACCTTGTATAACCTGACCTTTCCAACACTTCCTGGATGGTAGCACCCTTTATGGCAGTTTTGGGGTCCCACCATTCCAGTGAGCCGTGGAAAGCACTTTGGTTGGAACTAGCACTAACAAAGAAGCTGAGACCTCTTCCAAGGTGTCCAGCTTTATGGCACACAAAGCCTCTTTCAACCCTGGGTTCCCTCCAAGCCTCATCTCTCAGAACTGCTGTTTGGTCCTTGTGTCCTGAGATATTCTACTTCTGATTTCCGAGGCTCAGTGTCTAGTAGTCTGCTGAGCTGTTCGACTTTATTCCTGGGGCTGAGCTGGGTCTCCTGTTTTTCCCTTGTAGCTACTGCGGCCAGTGTACCAGGAAGACCCTATCCCTGAAGGTGAGTTATCCACTATTATTGTGCCCTCTTGGCTTGGAGAGGTGGCAGAGGGCAGCCGAGGCCTGGCCCAGCCTTCTGCTCTGAGTTCAGAGGCCTTTCTAGTGGAGTCATGATAGCTCAGCATGTAAACACATGGTCCCTTTCTTCTTGCAGTTTCTTTCTTCTCATGGTCTCTTCCCTCCCCCTGCCACCCACCCCAATGAAAGAGTGTGTTTCTCCTTGAGCCATCAAAGGGACAGAATGCTCAGGACTCCGGCATTCAGCTGAGCATCATCCAGTGTTACTGAACAGCACTGTCGGGCCTTTGTGGGGACAGCCATGGAGTGTAGAGCTGGGAGGTCTCAGTTTGGAGCTCTAGTTATATGGCTTTAAGCAAATTCCCTTTCTTCACTGCACAGCTATAAAATGAGGCCAGTAGTAATTCTTGTTCGGAGAGTTGGTTGTGAGCAGTAAGCCTGGATGTTGATTGATGTGACAGAAGGTGGAGGTCTCTGAAGTGCATCAATGTCTCTTACTGTTTGATGGATTCTTCTTTGGACTTCAAATCTTGGCCAGGAATAGAATCTGGCCAACTCCTCCAGGAAGGCCTAAGATACCAGTCTCTCTCTCCCCCCCAGTGTGTGTGTGTGTGTGTGTGTGTGTGTGTGTGTGTGTGTGTGTGTGTGTGTGTGTGTGTGTGTGTGTGTGTATTGGGACTGAGGCTTAAATTCAAGGATGGAGCACTTCCTTTTTTTTTTTCTGCTTATGGCAGGAACTCTACTTCTTGAGCTTTAGCTCTATTTCTGGCTCTTTGGTGGCTAATTGGAGACGAGAGTCTCACAGACTTTCCTGCCCAAGATAGCTTTAAATTGTGATCCTCAGATCTTAACCTCCTGAGCAATTAGGATTACAGGCATAAACCACCAATGGCCAGTAGTATGTAAGTCTTGATGCTAGAGTTGGCTGAGCATTCCTTAAAGCCCTTATATACCTGCCAAGAGCTCTGTATCTGCATGGTTGGGACCAGCTTTGCCCGGCAGCCTGCAATACTCATCTAGTATGTACATGAGCCCTTAAGCTGATACCTGCAGAATGCCCTTGACCTCGTCCTGAGAGTTGCTATTTCCAGGCCTCCTTGCTGTGTCAGCAATATAGACAATTTTTATAGTGGGTACTAGGAAGAATGCTTATGTCTTTTGAGGGGAAAAAGGCTCCCACAGGCTCAGGGTCTCTGACGGAAGTTACCTTTTTTTCTCTCCCCTCTTGGGCCTCAAAGAACTGGGCCTGGCCAGTTCTCTCCGGGGGAGGAGTCTGATGGGATCCACCAGGAAGTGTCTAAAAAACTTTTAGTCAGCTCATTAGATTGGAATGAAGATGTTACTGCAAAATGGTGACTTCAGTAAGGCCAGGGCTGAGTGGGGCATATCATTGGGTCCAGTATCAGTGCCTTGCAGACAGTAGAAATTCAGTCGAATTTTGGTTGAGTGAGTGACCAAGGAGACTGACTCCATTGCCTTGGTGGTGGTTTTGAAGCCTGATCACAGAATACGGAAGTTCTAAGAGGTATGTCACCTGCTGTGGTCACCTGGACATGGTCTGGGAAGTCCAGGGTGGATTCTTTCTCAGCCTGAGAGACACCTCTGTGGTTACTCCTAACCTATGTCTGTATTTTTCATTCTCTGAGAATATAATACCCAGAAGGGCACAGCCATCTAAGCCATGGGAAAGGGACAAGTAAGGAAACGATGGTGTTGTTAATAACCACGGTAACTTTTTGAATGCATTGTATCAAGGTCTTGGCTTTGCTTCATTTATTCTTCGTAATAATAATCATTTGGTATCCAAGGACATCTTTGCCTTTTCCCAAGGATTAAATCTTTTTAGTGCCTAGTCCTGGGGCTCAGCGGAAGGGTGAAAATTCAGAGCACAAAGCTTCCTTTAACATACTAAGGGTTGTCCAGAGGTTAAAGCTATCACCAGGGTGCCGACTTCTGGTCCTCTGGCTAGCCTGCCAGGAGGTAGCCTTTCAGAGTTTGGACTGAGCTGTCCTGAGTTGAATAGAGTCTGGTGCCCTTCCAGAGCCTGGAGTGCCTGTTTTTGCGGTAGTTGGCATGTGCCTGGGCCTGCTGTACCCTAGGCATTGTCCCCTTCCCTGTGAAGGCAGCCTCGCTTCAGATTCACCATTGCCAAGGGTCGGGTGGCTGCCAGGGCTCCCATCGGAAGCTGAGAGCAAAGCTCTGTAATTACTGTGTTTGGAGAGTGAAGCAGGTGTTAGAGGTAAAGAGATGAGACAAGAATATGGACCCAGGAGCCTTTGGAGTTAGTAGCAGGTGGGAAGCAATGGGTTTGCCTTCACAGACTCAGTGACTAGCTTGCAGTTTTAGCTGCCCTAAAAAAAAAAAAAAAAGACACTTACCTCCAGCCAAGTCCCTTGCTCCCTGTCACAAGGGATGTGGCCATGGGGCTTCTGAGACTGGCCACTACCTATGTTGCATTTACCAGTCATATGACCTTGGGAAAATTGCTCTAACGCTCTGCACCTTAGTTTCTTGTCTGTAATATAGTATGATGCAAGCCTCTCCTCCCTGAAGGCAGAATGATAGGCCAGGTGTTTGATATGTGACTCTCAAGACCCAAGGTGAAGATTCTTTGAAAGCCCTGAGCCAGAGGAAGGAAGAAATGGCTTTTTTTGGAATCTGAGAAAAGTTGGACCCTGGTGGTCATGCCTGTAATCCTACCTATACAGAAGGCTAAGATCTGAGGATCTCAGTTCAAAGCCAACCTGGGCAGGAAAGTTTGTGAGACTCCTATCCACTTAACAACTGGGGGTAAAAAGCTGAAAGCGGAGCTGTGGCTGAAGTGGCAGAGCACTAGCCTTGAGCCAAAAAAGCTCAGGGATAGGGACCAGGCCCTGAGTTCAAGACCCAGGACTGACACAAGCATACACAAAACCTGAGACTTAGGTCTGTGGCCCAGATTTTGCCATGTGCAGACAGTACCATTCTTTAATTTTGGTCTAATTGGCTTGAATTAGTCCTATCTTATTTTGCCTTCTCTGCTTTAGGCTTGGCCATGCCAACTTTCCTGTCCAGTTCCAAATGAGTCCAGTTGCCTCCCATCTCAGGTGGCTTGAGACCAATGCCCACATCTGCCCGTCCATGGCCTTGATGTGTGTCTTGTTCAGCAGTTTAGGGCTTGAGGGAATCTGAGCCACACTGGTACTGGTGCTTTGTGTGAGCTGACAGGCTGTTTGGGCCAGGCAGGAGCTCATACAAATATAGCAGATTTGTATAAGACAGATAGTATAGCCACCTGTAAGATCTCCATTTTGCAGCGGAAGAAAACTGACTCAGCGGGGGAAGAAACTGACTCAGGGGGAGAAAACACTCATTCAGGTTTGTACAGCCAGTCTCCAATTTGGGAAGTTGGTGCTCTAGTTCAAGGAAATCCATTACAGACTTTGAGTGGCAGAATGGGCTCTTCCTGCCAAGGGGCCAGGGCCTGCCAGGCAGATACCCCTCAGCTCCCCTATCCACAGGGGCCATGCTGGATGAGGAGCATGTGACTTCTTCCAGGCACCTGCACCTCCTGCCCTCAATCCTGGGCTCCTCAGTTCCCCCTAAGGCACTCAGAAGAAAGGCAGGAAGTGGGTTAGTTATTGTGGCTTGAGTGCCGCCCCCAGATTTGACTATCGGTGGTCACTTGTGGGGGCAGACTTGTTTTTCTCACCTCTCAGAGAGAAGGGTGGGAGGAAGAAGGAAGTGTGAAACCTTCTGGGCCATTTCCTCTAAACCATGGCCTTGCGTTGGTGGGGAGCTTCCCTGAAGTGTATTTGGGCTGGGTTACCCTGGCTGCCAGGGCTGGGGACAGAGAGAAGCCTGGGCACTCGGATCCAGACTGGATATCCAGGGAGGACATGGCTGGCTTTCTCTGGCTGCAAGAACCCTTGGAAGGGATCAGGTGTGTGCTGAGCACAGTCATTCTGCCTTCCCTCTCCCCTCATGCTTGTGTCTAGAAAGAGCACAGGAAGGACTTATTCTAGACTGTGGTGGACCAGGGGGCTCCTGTTCCCTTGTCATGTGAAGGACAGACCCTCATAGACCCTGCAAAGCCATTGTCTCTGTCCCCACTCTAGAGGATGTGATCTGTGTGACAGATGGGCTAGTGGGGCTGGGCTGGTAACAGAGGGATGAAGACACACACTGTCATACAGGAAGTTCCTTCTGATCTAACTCATTGTTCCATGTGGGACTCAAGGCTCAGCAAGGTCAGATCTGCTGATTTTTTAGATATGAGCAACTTCTCATTTCTAATTTTTTTTTTTTTTAGTGGTACTAGGGATTGAAGTCAGGGCCTCATACGTGCTAGGCAAAGGCTCTACCGCTTAAGCCATACTCCTAGTCTTTTGGGCTGTGGTTTGTTTTCAGATAGAACCTAATATTTTACCCAGACTGACCTTGGAAAGTGATCCTCCTACTTCTGCCTTTCAAGTAGCTGAGATTGGAGGCATGTGCCATTATGCCGGGTCCTTAGATATAAGTGACTTGTTGGTCAATAAATGGAGAGGTCTGATTTGGGATCTGGGATACTGTATCAAGAGCCGTCATCATTGTTGACTCCCAGTTCTGTCTGAACCCTGAACATTCCTTGTTTACGTGTCTTTACTGCTCATAAGAATGGGAGACAGGCCCACAACCTGGCTGGAGGCTCCCTGTGTACTTACGCTCTTTGCACTGGGCCTAGCCCAAGCTAATTAGTAGTTGGTGGTGTAGACTGATTGGGTCTGTGCAACCTGTGTTTCCAGGGAGGCCCTTTTCAGTGGTGGTAGAAATGCCTCACTGCCCCCTTTCTGTTCCACAGAGGCAGGGAGCCCCAGTAAAGGGAAGTCCTACACGGGCCTGGGGAAGAAGTCCCGGCTGATGAAGACAGTGCAGACAATGAAGGGCCACGGGAACTACCAAGACTGCTCAGTCCTCAGGCCGCACGTCCCGCACTCGAGCTATGGCACCTACGTCACCCTGGCCCCCAAAGTCCTGGTGTTCCCTGTGTTTGTTCAGGTGAGCCTGTGCTCAGCTCCCAGGGTTTCCTCGGGAGGAAATAAGAACAAGGAGGGAGCACCGTCCCAGGTCTCAGGGCGGTGTCTCCTCCAGGACCCCTCTGGGGACAAATGGTTCCAGATGCTCAGGATTCTGGGGGTGATATGGAGAAGCACAGAAGCTCCACATAGGAAGGTGTGGAGCCATGCTGCACAGGCTGACCCCAACGGCTTGTGACATCACAAGGCTGGCTTGCTAAGGCTCCCCTCCCTGCCTCGTCCAGCAGTTATTGTTTGGACTGAGGGAGAACTTCATGTCTGACCAATGAATACGGGTGGCCCAAGATTCATATACAGTTCCCTCCTCCTACATCCTCTTCTTTTCTCTCTTCTTCCCCATTTTTCCTCTCTTTTTAAAAATCAATCTCAGCCATGTGCCAGTGGCTCACATCTCTATTCCTAGCTACTCAGGAGGCTGAGATCTGAGGATCATAGTTCAAAGCCCAGCACGGGCAGGAGTCCAGGAGACTCTTAACTCCAATTAACCCCAGAAAACCAGGAGTGGCACTGTGGCTCAAAGTGGTAGGGTGCTAACCTGGAGTCAAAAGGTCAGGGACAGCACTCAGGCCCTGAGTTCAAACCCCACGACTGAAAAAAAATTAATCTCCATTTATCACCCTGTATGAAAGTGACTTTTCTGTATATATGTATATATGTTTATGTATGCATATATGTATGTATGTATCTGCATATTAAAAAATAGATCTCATTCTATACTCTGCTGCCTTTTTAGGTTTTTTTTTGCAGTGCTGGGAATCAAACCCATGGCTTGTACATACTACTTAAGTGCTCTTCCACTGAGCTAGATTCCCCAGTAACTGTTTTCCTGAGATAGTTTTTCTATGCAGCCCAGGATGGCTACATAATCCTCATGATCCTCCAGCTTCAGACTCCTTCTTGGGATTGCAGGCATATGCCACCACACTCTGCTTGTTGCCTTTTTTAGACAAAAATTGTAGCATGCACATTTCTCTCCTTATTACATGTTCTTCAAGGCTGGATTCTGTAGTGGTTCCCAGTCTTCTATCATATGGATATACCTTGTTTATTTAACTAGCTCGGCATGTTTACTCTTCTGCTATTGTAAATAACTTTGCAATGCCCATCTTTGTGCATGAATTGTTGCTGGTTATTTTTCTTGGGAAAAATTTCCTGGATGTGAAATGACTTGACCATGGGTCATGAATGTCTTTAAGATACTTTATACGTACTAACAAACTGCTGTCCTTAGCAGCATGAGGATGTTACGGTCCCATGGCCTTTACTTCTGACCATGACATCCCAGTGTGCCTGTCACTGTCCAGTGGATTTTAGAATCTCCACTTGGCCAGGATTTAACATGTCTGTGACAGGTAATGCCCCACTTCCTCAACAGCTGTGCTGGCAAGGTCTGCCCTCTGCCATTTTTTGTGGATCTCGTCTCTTCCTTGAGACAGAGACCCTAATGTCTTTCTCTTTTGTTTACTTATTTTCATTTTTTTAACTGAAATAGGCTCTTTCTATATAGCCCAGGCTACCCTTGAACTCATAATCTTCCCTCTCATAATCCTCCTGAACATTGAGATAATAGGTACATAACATTGTAGCTGCTTATTGTTTTTATTTTTGTTGTTTTAAAACGTTTTTGAAGCATGATGAGAATTCTTTGAAAAAAGTATAAAATACATAAACTAAAAATGGCATAACACTTAACTGTTCAATCTAACAAGTGACTGGAAAGTGAATTCCCTTTAAGAATTCACTGGAGATGAAGGAATAGACCCTGTGGGCAGGAAGCCCCATGTATCTTCCCGATCATGGTACCCTCCCCCGACCAGAGGTACCCAGTCCCCCACACCTAGTTTGGTGATGAGCAGTCCTTCTCTTTCATTTTACCATCTGAGTATGTTTCCCTAAATAACATGCTCCCTTTTGCCTCTTTTTTTTTTTTTTTTTTTGGGTCCAGTCGTGGGGCCTGAACTCTGGGCCTGGGCGCTGTCCTTCAGCTCTTTAGCTCAAGGCTAGCGCTCTACCACTTGAGCCACAGTGCCACTTCTGGCTTTTTTCTTTTTGCTTATGTGGTGCTGAGGAATGGAACCCAGGGCCTTGAGCATGCAAGGCAAGCGCTCTACCACTGAGCCACCTTCCCAGCCCTAAAAACACTTTTTTTTTGTCAGTCGTGGGGCTTGAACTCTGGGCTTGGGCACTGTCCCTCAGCTCTTCAGCTCAAGGCTAGCGCTCTACCACTTGAGCCATAGCGCCACTTCCGGCTTTTTTCTTTTTGCTTATGTGGTGCTGGGGAATCGAACCCAGGGCCTCAGGCATGCAAGGCAAGCGCTCTACCACTGAGCCACCTTCCCAGCCTCCCTTTTGCCTCTTTTTGAATGATATTTAATGAAATCCTACTGGACTTATTTATTAGAGTCCTGCTTCTTTGGCCGCCTGTTATTTCAAGCTCCATCAGCTTGTTGTATGTAACTGAAATTTGTTTTATTATTTTTCTTCAGTAGTTCCCTGGAGGCCAGGTACATAGAAGCCATGTTATAAATATATGTTCACAAGGACAAGTCCTGACGAATGACCTAGAATTTAAGGAACTCTCTCTGGGCTGGATGGGATGGGATGACTGGGTGAGAAGTTTAGGGAGAATTAGTTCTTGGGGAACTTATGAGTAAGAAAGAGTCAGTCAGCTCAAGTGCATTTTGAATACAGAGCAAGGTAAGGCCTGGTCCTAAAAAGGGACTGGAATAGACAAATCTCTGGGCATGTGGACGTCAGGAAACCTGCAGGGCCTGACAGCAGGGACCTTCCTGTGAGGGGTGAGCAGGACAGATGGGGGTTGAGAGGGCCCCTGAGCTCAGTGTGGGGGCGAGCAGACAGGGGAGGGCCGCAGAGGGCCCAAGCATGTGGTTGGATTTCCTGCCAGAGAGCACAGCTCTCTGCTGGGGAAGGTGGCGGCTGCAGCTCCGCACAGGACAGGAGTCAGTGTCTTTCTGTTCCATCTTGTGTGTGAAGGGCTTGGGGGTTCTCAGGGGAGGGGAGAGGGTTCCCAGCGGCTGGCTTTGGTGAGCTGCTCCCCTCTGGGGCCTCTCTGAACTGCCCACTCAGGGCCTTGCTTTTTATTTTTCAGCCCCTAGATCTCTGTAACCCTGCCCGGACCCTCCTGCTGTCTGAGGAGCTGCTGCTGTACGAAGGGAGGAACAAAGCTTCTCAGGTAGGATGTGGGCACTGCCAGGCTGGCTCTCACTAGGCTTCCCTGGCCAGCCTCCAGGCCTCTCACCCTTCTCCCCTCTTACTAGTCTTAGAATTGTACAATTTAAGGATGTGGGGGGAGACCCAAAGCCTAGTCTCATTTCCTCTTCTTAAATAGCTACCTGTGGCTTGTACGCATCCAGCCACGGGGAACTCACCCCTCGCAAAGCCATTTAGTCCATCTTCAATGGTTCTAACTTTCCCCCAGCCCCCTAAGACATCCCATTGTTTTCTTGACTCCATTTATGGAGAAGAGATGACACATCTGGACTTTGATAGTGACTTTGTGGTGAGATTAAAGCTGTTAGCAAAAAAGCTTGAGAGGAATATCTATTACTTGAATTTCCTGAGTGTATTAGCCCCTTCAGACTTTTCCTGGGCTCTTGCTTCATCAGCAAGAGGAGGGGGGCCGAGGGGGTGGGGCTATGCCAATGTTCCTCATCTCTCATGGGAAAGACCTTACTCACACCAGGACCTAGCCCAGGCCCTGTCCTTGAGCTTAAATTGACTTGGGACCCAGATGTTGATGACTCACACATGTAGTTCTAGCTACTCAGGAGGCTGAGATATGAGGATCAAGGTTTCAAGGCAACCCAGGAAGAAAGGTCTCTGAGACTTTTATCTCCAATTAACTAACCAAAAGCTAAAAGTGAAGGTATGGCTCAAGTAGTAAAGCACCAGCCTTCAGCAAAAAAGCCAAGTGAGAGCATGAGACTCTGAGTTCAAACAGCAGTCTGTCTCTCTCTCTCTGTCTCTGTCTCTCTCTGTCTCTGTCTCTCTCTGTCTCTCTGTTTCTCTCTCCCCCTCCCCTCCTTGGGAACAGAAGGTGGAGCCTTGGAATCTGGCCTGGCTCACAGGCATAAACAGAAGGTTCGCTGCAGGTCAGTCCTGATGCAGACATAGTTCTTCCCAGGTAAATAGTCACTTGGCACAGTAGGAAGTTGGGGCAGGAACTTGGAGGCAGGACGCCTCTCCTCCAGATACCTTCCATCCTGTTTCTGGCTTTTCTTTCCCCATCTGCACAGTGGGTATGTGCGTATGTATTTGAGGGAGCTGAGTGGAGCCTGAGGCTGGCTGGTCTCGAAGGGCTCCGGTATGCCAGTGACCGTGGCTGAAGCACAGGTTGGCTTTTGCTTTGTTCTATTTAGTTTTTGAGAAAGCATGCTCCAGATGATGATTGTCTTTTTCCAAGAATGATCCCTGGGAAGACAGCATGCTTGTTCCGCTGCAGTGGGATGCTGAGGTCATATCTGCATCACATTTAGGAACTTCCTTCAGAATCTCAGCGTGTCCTCTGACCTGCCTCAGTGGCAGTAAAACCCCACTGGGTGAGGGGCTTTGGGCTTCTGGAGTGAGATGCTGCTGGTGCTGTATGTGGTGAAGAGGAATCCAGTGTGCAGGCCCAGCAGGTAAGCTGTGGCCAGATATCCAACAGACCAAGAAGAAGGCAGTGAGGATGGCAGTCACCCTGCAGCCCATACCTGTGTGGACATTCATTCATCATTCATCCTGTAAACAGGGGGGCCTGTACTGTGTAGCCTGCATGTGCAGTTTGCATACTTGATGTGGATAAGCTCTGTAGTTCTCCCAGGAGACACTCAATTATTTCCCCCCACTTTCTAGATGAGGAAACTCAGGCTGCCCCTGAGGCGACTGAGGGCCTGGGGGTTTCAGGGTGGGTAAGGAGTGGAACCAAATTGAATCCTCAGCTCTCTAGCTCAGCACTGCTTTCTAGGATCCCTGTTGCCTCTGGTATTTGTTAAAAAACAAACACACACCAGCCAAGCCATCACCATAGTTCAAATTCATCCTCCGTGTCTTTGCTTCATGGCTTAGGACGGACAGATTTCCCTCTTGAAGACTGAAGGGTATAATGTGAGGACCTATCTAATAAACATAGCCCTTTCTCTTGAAGTACAATAGCAATAGGAGGCTCTGGTAGATTTTCAGGTCTCTCAAGCTAAAAGCAGAAACCAATTCCAGAGGGTGTTGGGTAACTTTAGAGAACCTTAGCATCGTGGGTTCTCGTTGCTTCCCTGCGGCTTTCCGGCAAATGCTTTTCAGAACCAGAAAGGGCAGCCCCTATGAGCAGTGGATTTGTGGCTTGAGAGCCTTCATTTGCAGCAAGTGCTGCTGTGTGATTGACAGAAATCTGTATTGCTGGAGTATTCCCGCTTGTGTGGTGGGCCCCTCTCTTCTCTGGGCATGCTCAGATTTGTTAAAGCCTACGAGCTGACCCAGGGCCACTTCATGAACTGCTCTCACCGCACTCCCCTCCCTGTCTAAAAGTCACACACTTGTCCAATGTGTACCGAGATCCAATCAGCATTTTGGAGCAGCCCATTTGTACATTCAAACAATAGTTCCTCAGCATTTGCACTGTAGCCAGGCCCTGTGCTAGGTTCCTGGAATACTGTGAAGCACAAGACAGACACACCCTCACTTTACACACTGACTCACCAGTTTACCATTAACTAAGGTGCACTTAGGTCTTGTCTGCAAACTCTGATTCCCAGGAGAAGCTAGGTTAGGACCACTTGAGAAAGTACCCGCCATGTTGTAAGGCTGGCTCCTCTACGTAGACCTTCACTCAGTCTTTGACTCTGGAACATCAGATGTAAGTGGGAGGAGGTGTGCGGAAGACACCCGGAGGCTCCTGGGGCCAGGGGTGGAAGGCAGCAGGTAACTGGGTGATGGGCCTGGCATCATTCTTCTGTGGGCTGCCGGGAATTCTATTGGAGCAAGGGCAGGAGAAGGGGAAGGGTTTGGGAAGGGGTTCATACACATGCCCTGCCTTGGCACTTGGTCCTTGTCCTGCTTTGGCCTCTGTCTTGACTCCAGCTGTGTGCCAGCTCTGTCCTTTCCCTGACCTAACCTTTGGGGGAAATTCTTCACTCATGCCTTAATCACTTCCTGTCTAGACCATATTCTCAGCTCTGGGAATTGAGGATAGGGCAGTGGCTTAGGCCTTTTTTCACCTTGCCCATGGCTCCTCCCACTTGCCTTCCATCCAGCCCTCTCTGGGCCTTGGCGGTTTTTTTTTTTTTTTTTACTTTTGAGGCTCCTGGTGAATTGTCTCCTCCAACTTTTTCCGTGCCAGCTTCCTTGTCGGTCTGGAGGTGAGGCCAGATTTCTCTTGAGTGGATGCAGGAACAAGAAGGTTTGCTTCGTGTTTTCAGCTAGTGTACCTACCACCTTCATTCATTCTTTAGACTTTGCAGTTCCCTCCTTAGACATCCAATTCATGGAATATTTCTGGACTTCTCCATCATTTTCTTTGATTTTATTTACTTACTTAATTTCTTTTGCTCTTCTTAATTGGTTTCTGTTTGGGTGCTTTCACCTTCAGGGACAGAAAAGCTGCAGACACATTGCCGGTTCACTTAACCTCTTTGAGCTGTAAGGTCCTCTTTGGTCAGGGCAATAATGTTATTTAAATGAGGGGCCATGAGGCAGAAAGTAAAAGCTCAGCAACTGGGGACTTCTGTTGGGCAAGGTTGAAGCAGGGCCTTGCTGAAAGGGCTGCATGGGATTACCATTAAGATCCCTTTAGCTCAGAATTCTGGAGTCACTATGTTTGGGTCCCATGAGAGAGGCCAGAGCCCTGATAGCTTTGCTCTAAGATGTCCCCAAATCATTCCTCTGTCCCAATGCCCTCCACCTTATGTTTGTACAATATTTGAACTATTGCTAAATAGTGCAAATTTAAGAGAAATGTGTAAAGTAAAATCCTATTGCCCAGAATGAGGACAACAGTGAATATGTTAGATTCCCTCTCTCTCTATCCAGATATATATATATATATATATATATATATATATATATATATATATATATGCACATATATATACACACACACACACACATATAGAGGTGTTTGTTTCATAAAATATCATTATTCTCTGGGTATTTTTGCATAGCATTCTCGCTGTTTTGCTTTATGATAGACAGATTTCTTTTTTGGGGGGGGTCCAGCCGTGGGACCTGAACTCTGGGCCTGGGCGCTGTCCCTCAGCTCTTCAGCTCAAGGCTAGCACTCTACCACTTGAGCCACAGCGCCACTTCCGGCTTTTTTTCTTTTTGCTTATGTGATGCTGAGGAATTGAACCCAGGGCCTCAGGCATGCAAGGCAAGCACTCTACCACTGAGCCACCTTCCCAGCCCTGATAGACAAGATTTCTATTTCTTCGCACCTAGCTCCACTTGATTCTTTTTAATAGCTGCATAACATGCTACCAGAGGAAGATAGCATACTTTGTTGTGTATATCTTCTCTTGATGAACATTTATATTGTTGTTATTGTTATTACTGTAGGATCTGCCCCGTATTATTGAGACAAAGTCTCACTATGTAGTTCAGGCTGGCCTCTAATTCATGATCCTCCTATCTCTGCCACCTGAGTGCTAGGATTAAAGTCATGCACCACTGCACCTGGCTTTAAAAAAAAAATCTACAAAAGTGCTCCTGAGGACATCCCTATATGTGCATATTAATAAAGCTTTGTTAAGTATTTCTGTAGGAGAGAGTCTTAGGAGTGGAGTTGTGTGAGCCTCCTTAACAGTTTGTCAGCTTAGTGTCAGCATGTGGCTTTGTCAACTTGGGTAACAACACAGCACACCCTTGCTGTACCCCTCAATATGTGTAAGCCCTTCCGGCTAATTTTTCTTGCTGTAGAAGAGATGAGGTGTCAGGTGTGACACCTCAAAAGGGAAGTTTCCATAATTAATAATACTTGGTTTTTCTGAGAATCTAAAATTGGATTTTATTGCTCTTAAGGCCACTGCAGGATTTGCAAAACAAAGAGCAGTATAAACTGCAGTGGCCGTAGAGGATCAAGAGGATTTTTCTTCACTTAAAAATATGCTAAGCATGCCTATGGTTTCCCTATCGCGTCTAAAAATAGCTTTTTTCCTTTGTCTTTTTTTTTTTTGAGCAGTTAGTACGTAAAGGAGATAAAAGTTATGCACAAATCTGTATTAGAATGTGAGTAAACCGGCTTTTCCCTGAACCAATTTCTTATTAATGTGGTTAACAGTGATCTGCAAGGAATTTGGTGATATTGCTTTATACCCATGAGGCTTCACTTCATTCCCCAAACATCCAGGGCTGGGGGCTAAGGGCTCAAGGGCACATCAGGGCTACCGGGCTGTAAGGAGGCCTGTAGAGCCATCTGCTATGGAGAGTGCCGTCTACCAGCATTTCTTCGTTTAGGTCTTCAGTTTTGAGGAGGGGGGAAATAGACAACGGGGAACAAGGGCTGTCCTGATTGTAGGGAGGGTCTCTGTGTGAGTGGCAGGTCCACACTTGGGAGTTATCCCCGATTCTGTCTGACCTGCATGCATCCCCCAAGCTTCTGTTTCCCCTGTGGCCAAAGGACTGCAGAGCAGCAAGTTCCTATTTGCTGTCTCTCTGCGCAGGTAACACTGTTTGCCTACTCGGATCTGCTGCTCTTCACCAAGGAGGATGAGCCAGGCCGCTGCAACGTCCTGAGGAACCCCCTCTACCTCCAGAGCGTGAAGCTGCAGGAAGGTAAGAGGTGCCCAGACGTCCAGTCCAAGCAGACCCTCTGCGAGCCTGGAGCCAACCTCACTGAAGCATCTGGGTAGCCGCTGCGGCACTCTGCCCCAGCCCTGGCAGGCTTGCAGATGCTGGCACTTTATTCTAGGCTGGCAAGCCTTCTGATATACCATGACCTTTCCTAGGATGTTACCATTCTAGAGATCTTCAAGAGAGGCTACTGGACTGGGGGGGAAAGAACTTTGGAATCAGATAGACCTATGTTCAAATCCTGCCTCTGCTCTTCACTGCCAGTGTGAACCTGGGCAAGTTATTCAACCTGTCTGAGCCTGTTTTCTCATGTGAATACAGAGAGGCAATATTTACAGTACCCCAGGGTTGGGTGGTGGCAGTTCACACCTGTAATCCTAGTTTTTCAGGAGGTTGAGATCTGTTGATTGCAGTTCAAAGCCAACCTGGGCAGGAAAGCCTGTGAGACTCTTATCTCCAATTAACTACCAAAAAAGAAGGAAGTGGAAATGTGGCTCTAGTGGTGGAGCACTAGCCTTGAGCAGAAAAGCTCAGGGACAGGGCCCAGACCCTGAGTACAAACTGCAGGAGGCACCAAAAAAAAAATAAAAAATAAAAATACTAACAGTACTTCAGAAGGCTGTTGGATGAAGTTAGGTCATTCATGCAAAGCATCAGGCCCCAAAGAGGAACTCAGTAAATGCTCTTTGCCACCCCACTAAACCACAGGTATACATATTCATAGCAGAGACCAGTGGCCCTTCTCAGCCAGCAGCCTGGCCCTGGCTAGAGCCCCAGGAAGCTTCCAGGCCGTGTGGCTGGTGGGAGGGGAGGGGGTGGGTTGTGAGCAAATCATGCAGGAGGGTTCAGTGAATTCCTAGCCCAAAACTTTCCATCGCACACTGGGCCCACCGGGGAACAGAGACGGGAAGCCAGCTGTGAGTATCTGTCCAACAGGGTTGCTTTGGCGCCTGAGGTCTCCGCTGAAAGGGGCTCGGTTTCCTCTCCCAGATTATGCAAACAACAACAGACCTGGGTAAGCATAGGCAGTAGGGGCAGGGAGGAAAATATGAACGGCAAAAGAATTCTGTTTTGGCGGGTTTTGCTCCAGGAACACTTCCTGATTGCTTGCAAAGCCATCCTGTGTGCTGGATGCCCTGGCTGCTCTCCCTCCTTGGGAACCCGGCCGTGAGAGCACCTCCAGTCTCCACTCCCCACAGGAAGTCACTTACTAGGCTCCCACTCCGGCTCTGACTCTGTCCGGCCCACTGACCGGGATGGCCACTTAAGGGGCCAGCCCTGCTCTCCAGGCAAGTGGCTCAGCCTTTGACCAACGGGCAGTGGGAGGAGCTGTCCTCTGAGCCGCTTTTATAGGCAGCAGCCTGCCAGGTGGGTCCTCTGGGCCATCCTGGACTCTGCCCTAGGCTCCATGCTGTTGCTTTGTCCTCCCCTACCTGCATACCCAGCTTCCTGTCTGCCACTGTGCACACATGGATCCTTACAGCACTGCGGGCTCTAGGACCCAGCCCATCAGAGGAACACTGGGCAGTACAGGACAACTGCCATGACTGGAATGAAGCACCAGCTTTGCTGTGCATATTGCAGGTCCAGGCCTCAAATCCAGGACTCTCTCGGCCTCAGCTTCCTGTTAAATGGAGGGAGGGAAAAGAAAGAGTGTCTACAGCTGCCTGGGCTTTGGGTGGAGGTTGGGGTCAGGAGGGAAGGCGGTAGAAGTGAGAGCTGTAAGGGCAGGGCAGTAGCTGGAGGTTTGGGGGCCTGGGCTAATCTTTATCACTATATGCCCCCAGACAGAAGCTTTATGGCTGTGGGGAGAAGCTGAATAGTACCCATACTGCCTCTCTTCCAGCCTTGAAGAGGTGGGAGGGGAGGGCACCACTAGACTGGGTGTGGGTTGGGTTTTCCCCTCCTGTAGTCCCAAGACTTGAAGGGTGAGAGCCATCCTCTACTGAGCAGTGAGGGTTACAGTGGGTGGTTATGATCCCATCCCACATGTGCTACCTGGTGGGGGTGGGGTCTCCAGATGTGGAGCTGCACATAAGCCCCAGCCGTGAACATGCCTGGCTTCTTTGGACTGGAGTGTATCTGCCTGCAAATGCTGGTGCAGCTAGATAGGGCTGAGGGTGGCCAAGGTCTTGGGAGGAGAGATGAGCATGGATTCAGAGCCTGATGGATTTTGTTGTGAGAGAGGGTGTGTGCCTACCCTGGATTTGTTGGGAAGACAGTTTGGGATAGACCATAGGTCTAAGATGGTTTAGTGGCAGGCTTCTAGGGAGGGAGTGCCTGAAACTACCATGAGCAAAGAAAATGGCTTGGTGACACCTGAGTCGGCACTCAGGGCACACAGTCCTGTGTTTAGATGTCTTGCCAGGCACCAATGGAGCCTTTGCCCCCATTTCTCTGCAATAGTCTTGAGGTTCACCAAAGTCCTGGATTGTTCCTTTCTGCCACAGTTAAGTGTTGGAGCCTCAGAACCCCTTGTTCTGGGGCTGGCACCAGGTTTCCTGCCCTTCCCCCCTCAGCTCCCAGGAGACTTGCTGCTGCTGCAGGAGCCCAAGTGTGGACTGCATTTTAAAGGATGCATTTGGGTCCTTAGCTGGAGCCTCTGATTGCAGGACAGTGTGATGACCATTGTTTATAAATCAAAATTTTTAGATTCCTCTGTATGTGTGCTGGTACTAAGGCTTGAGCTCAGGGCCTGGGTGCTGTCCCTTAGCTTTTTCCTGTCAAGACTGGCACTTGAGCTACAGCTCTGCTTTTGTTTCTAGCTTCTTGCTGGCTAATTGGAGATTAGAGTCTCGTGGATTTTTCTACCCAGGCTGACTTCAAATTGGAATCCTCAGATCTCAGCCTCCTGAGGAGCTAGGATTATAGGTGTGAGCCACCATCATTCCACATTTCCTATGGTTTTTTTTTTGTTTGTTTTTTTGTCTCCTTTGTGTCAACATATATGGAGGCAAAGAAGATGGTAAAGAAGGAATGGACCTAGCATTTCCAGAAGCCTGGGGCTGGCAAGGCTTCTCCCCGGCAGGGGACAGTCCATTGTATCTGCTTTGTGATTGGTGCAAGGGACCCCAGCTCCATTAACCAACCATATCCCAGGACTTGGCATGGGATGTGGAACATTGTGGGCACCTAGAGAATGTTCATTGAGCTAATGAGTGAGTGAGTGAACAGGAGAGTCTAAACACTGTATCATCTTGGGAGCTAGGCTGCCCTGTCCCCCACCCTCTGCTCAGCGGGCGTGGCCACTTCAGCTTGGCCTGCCTCCTCTGCCTAGCCTCCTCCAAGCTTCAGCAGGACTGAATGACCGTGTAATGAGAACCTGCGGAGGGCTGGTGCTCACAATCAGGGCATCTCCGGTGAGCCAGAGCTCATTGTGGTCTCTTCCTGCCTCTACTGCCCGCTGGCTTTGCTACCTTTGTGTTTCTGTCTCCCAGGTGGCCAGCATCACACCCACAGTGTGTCTTTTTGGCTTGCCCTGGTCTCAGACGTGGCCTAGAAATATCTAGCTGACTCATGGGCTTCCCTTCTTCCAGGCTCCCTTCTTAGCTGCCTGGTCCCAAGTGGCTGGAGTGCTTTGGCTTAAGTCTTACTTGGTGGATGTTTTCTGAGGCATACTTCAGAGCCTACTTCCTTGGTAGCCACTGGGGTGGTTACTGAAGAAGAGAATTCTCTACTTCTGGAGCTTGTAATCTGGAGGAAAGTGAACCTGCATCAGGACAAAAGTGTGACACAGTGGTTAGGAACATAGCCTTTGGAGGAAGCCATTAGCTCTGCCACTTACTGTATGCCTGATACAAGTGTTTGTGTATGCGCATGTGTGCATGTGCATACTGGTACTAGGGCTTGAACTCAGGGCCTGGGTGCTGTCCTTTCGTTTTGTTCAGTCAAGGCTAGTACTCTACCACTTGAACCACAGCACTATTGTTTGGTGGCTAACTGGAGATAAGAATCTCATGGAATTTCCTGCCCAGGATGCTTTGAACTGCAATCCTCAGTTTTCAGCCTTCTGAGTAGCTAATATTACAGGCATGAGCCACCAGTGCCCAGCAAGTTATTTTGCTTCCCTGGCTTCAGTCTTTGTAAGGGGAGAAGAAGAACAAGAGCCCTTCTGCGCTGCCATAGCCAGTGGAGAGGATTTGGTGCATAGTTGAATTGGGATCTAAAACCAGAAAGGAGCCCTCTTGCCTCCTGTTTTTCCGCAGCTACAGCAGCTCCTCGCTGGCACTCTTGGCTCCTTGGCTTGTTGTTCTTTTGTGAGCCTCTGAATCATGCTGAGCACGGGCCCCCATTCCAGCCTCCTGTCACAGGGCTGCCAGCTCAAAGCTATGATGTGGAGCAGATTCCACCCCAAGTTTGCAGTCACATGAAGTGAGGTCAGAGCAGATAGGGCGGGGGGGCACGCCACCATGCTGAGAAGTTGTCAAGGTGATCCATCAGTTGTCCCCTGATGAGGAAATCAGCTCCTGTTTCTGTGAGCCTCTTATCCCCTGGCCTTCCCCTCCCTTCTAGACCTGCCTCTGTTCTCTTTACCAGCTTCCACAACTGACATTTCTGTCATTTTCTTATATAGATCTCTTTGGCATTAGGGTCTACCAACTCAACAAGACATCTCAATGTGTTTCCTTCCTTCCTTCCTTCCTTCCTTCCTTCCTTCCTTCCTTCTTCCTCTTTCCCTTCCCCTATTCCTTCCCCTTCCCCTTTCTCTTTTCTTTTTTTGTGTCAGTTCTGGGCCTTGAACTCTAGGCCTTATGCTCTCAGTTTTTTGGCTCAAGGCTAGTGATCTACCACTTGAGCCATACCCTCTACTCCTAGCTTTTTGCTGGTTTTTGGGATAAGAGTCTCACATACTCTTCTGCCTAGGCTGGGTTTGACCAGGATCCTCAGATCCTTTTGTCTCCACCCTCAGCAGCAGAGGAGGCTCTGGGATTGCAGTTTCATTCAACATGACATTTTAGAGGCAGGGCTCTACTCAACCCCACAGCCCATCTCCAGGTGGGAGAAGTAAAAACTTCTATTGTTTCTACTTCTGCTCATATACAGAGAGCATTTATTGTAAGTCTGAAGTGGACCCCACTTACTCATGAGGTATTTTCATCTGGCTCTGCTTAGTGCCACTGGTGCTTGGGAAATGTTGGTACTGGAAACTGTTTGGCTACCTCTAGGGGTTTGATCTTCACTTGTACCAGGGCCTTGTCTAAGGAGCTGGCCTGACTCATGGCTTCTGGTTAACTTTCTGTCTCCTAGTTGTGGCAAATATGGGTTTGAGAATTTCTTTGCTTTAAACATGTGTTGAAGGGGCCTGGCATTTGAGAGTAGGCTGTGCAGTGGGTCAGAGTACAGGCTGTGGAACCAGGATGCCAGATTGAAATCTAGGCTCTCCTCTGGGCAAACTGCTTCCTCCAGCTGAGCCTCAGGTCTTGCATGAGCTGTGGTACATGGACAGCCCTGCTGCTGGGAGAGGTTATAAGGAGTGGGTAGGTGCTCTGCCACTGAGCTACACTCCTGCCCTCAAGCTGATATGTGTAGTGTCAACTGAACTCCAAAGTTCTGTGGTACTTAAAAGTGTCTGCTGTTACGCATGCTATATAGTTGCTTCCCTCAAAAATGCCAGCCTCAGCCAGTGCCCATGGCTCAGGAGACTGAGATCTGAGGGTTGTAGTTCAAAGCCAGCCTAGGGAAGAAAGTTATGAGACTTTTATCTCCAATTAACCAGCAAAAAAAGCTAGAAGTGGAACTGTGGCAGAGCCACAGAGAGTATTAGCTTTGAGAGAAAAAAAAAAAGCTAAGGGACACCATTCGGTCCCTGAGTTCAAGCCCCAGTAACTGCACAAACACAGAAGAAAAAAGAAAACAAAAAAATAACCTAGGCAAGGTATGATGTTTCACACCTATAATTCCAGCTACTTGGGAGGTAGAGACAGGAGGATTGCAGTTAAAGCCCAGCACAGATAAAAGTTTGAGACTCCATCTCAAAGACAAATTTTCAAAAAGCAAAAAGATTGGAGGCATGGCTCAAATGGTAGTGCTTGCCTTGCAAGTGGTAGGCCCTGAATCCAGTCCCCAGTTGCAGAGCAGGGAGTCAGCCTCCCTAGTGAAGTTGGTTGCTTGTAGTGCTGGGAGTTTGTGGCCACTCCAGGCCTGGGTCAGACAAGTGCTCTGGTCAGGCCTGGTCAGACAAGTGGAGGTACTTCTGGGTTCCAAAGGAATAGCCAGGATGAGAGTCCTTGGGGTGGAGAGTAGGGGTGGGGGTGGGGAGACAAGTGGGCTTTTGCTCTGCTCTCTTCAGTCTTTGTCCCTTGAGCAGAGTTGTGTCTCCACCAGGTTGCCCCCAAAGCCTGGTCATCTCTCAGACCCTTGTGCTGCCACATGGCTCCTTGCTGAGTTTCAAAATGGTGGAGTGTTGAACTCCACCTTGGAGGTGAGCCGCCTCCCTGCCCTCATTATATGGATGTGGAGACAGGGAAGCCCCCCAGGACCAGGGAAGCTCTCTGGTTTGGGGCCATTGGAGGCTCCTGGCTGCCTCTCCTGGGCGCATGTTTCCCCTATTCCTTAGGTCAGAAAGACCCATGGTGCCTTCTCCTGGTTAGTGTTTGTGGGCTCCGTTCCACTGACATTCCTGTCCCCTGCACCTGCCACTTCTGCCATTTGGTTTCAGGAAGGCCCACACAGTGCCCAGTACAGCTCTGAGACACTTTAGCCAGCTCTTAACTCTTCTCTTTGTTCCCTCAAAGGTTCTTCAGAAGACTTGAAATTCTGCGTGCTGTATCTGGCAGAGGTGAGTCCCCTGTCCAGTCTCTGAACTGGAGGAGAGTTATCTGTGACTTGGTGCTTGAGGGAAGATGTGGGGCCAGATTCTAGGCAGGGATTCTGACATCAACCTCTCCAGAGAACCTGCCTTGGCTCGGGGCTCAGCCAGGAGGGCAGCTTCTTTCTCTGTAGGCTGTGTACTGGTCCCTACCCACACTATCTTACTCTGCATGAAAGAGCAATAGACAGCCCTGCCAGGGCCTCTTGAGATCCCCCTCCCCCTCCTCAGCACTCCCCTGCCCTAGCACCTGCAGAGAGAAGAGAATCCTGATGAGGGCGTGGCCTGACAGCTGTGCATCACCCTGTTTATTTATTTAACATCCTTTCCTCTAGAGATTGTCCTGACTCAATTGCTGGCCTCTTGTGTCCTCTTTTTCCAGGAAGTACCACCCACCACCCCTCCTACAGGTCTTGTCAGTGCTTCAAAGGCCCTGGAAATAATTATATACCTTTACCTGGGCCAGACAACACAGGCTAAAAGCAAACAGCCCGTGTCTGCATTTGGAATGGCACTCATGCCATTGATATTCCTGGTTATTTCAGTCTGGCCGGAAGCTTAGACAGGCTTTAGGAAGCAAAATCAAGCAAACAGCTCATGGCTTCATATGATTCGGTAGATAAAATATGCAATGTTTTTTTTAAGTTGAAGAAGCTGTTGATGATGAAAAATTTGAGAGCTGCCAAGCCATATGAATTCTTTTAATTCTCCCATGAATTTTCTATTCCCAATCTTGGGCCTACTCATGTATAGACAGGGTGATGTCTGTCCCAAGCAAGGATTCATTAAGTCCATTCCTTCCCTCTGTCTCCACTGAAGCTGGCCTCTCCCAGAAGTCTTGAGGGCATCAACACCCCTAGGGAGTAGACACAGGCCATCCCGGAAGGCTGGCCAAGAGAAGGAAATCATGTCTGTGAAAGAAATTTCTCCAGATCCTCACTAAGATAAGAGGTGTCAGCCTTGGAGAGGGGGAGAGTCCTTGGACCTACCCCTAGGGGAAGGCAGGTGCCGAGAAGTTGGCTTCAAGGGGAGCAGAGAGAAGCAGTAGACATGGGCAGAGCTGACTGGGAACTTGCTTGCCAGCTGGGTTAGCCCCATCCCCCTGGAACACAGGGAGTGGCTGGTAGAATCTCTTCAGCACTAGAGACAGCCTGGCTCCACAGAGCCAAGTGAGTTGAGTACAGCTGGGAGGCGCCATGAGCTGGGCCAGGCTCCTTTCCACAATTCCATCCTTCCTGACTCCCATTCTCTCCGGAAGTCACTGAGTGAGGTCCCAGGTGCCTTAGTGCCAAGAGAGTTTCCTCCCAGGCTGGGTTTTGTTTTTCCCAGAGAAAAGCACTTCTCCATTGAATCTGAAGCCTCCTAGCCTTCTAAAGGGAGGGGATATTGATTTGGGGGCCTTTTATTTCAGTAAAGTGCCAGGTGATCTGACCCTGAGGGGCTGGGAGATGGAAGCTCACAGGCAGTTAGAAGCTCTTCTCTTCTCTTAATGGGCTATTTATGAGAGGCAAGGCTGTAATGCATGCAAGACAAGCTGCCTGCTTGCTCTCAGCCAGGGACTTTATCGACACGGGTGGCCGGGGTCCCAGGGAGCACCCCAAACAAACATCTTCCTTGGAACTTTCACCAGCTAGATTTTCTTCTTTGCCTCACATCCAGGTTGCACCTCAAGAAGAAACCAAGGGAAGAGTCAGGGTTCGGAGAGGGGTTTCCACTCTATGTTGAGAAAGCTCTAATAGTCTGGGGCTGTACCACCGATCGTTCCCTGGAGATGCCTGCCCTAAGTAACCCTTGTCTATAATCCTTATCATTAGGTCCCTGGGCAGGCATCCCTCAGTGCCCTGTGCATCCATGGTACAGATGCCCGTGACTGGCTTCAGAGCACTGGGGGCACTGGGCTTGTTTAGGATCACTTTTTCTCTCTCACCTGGAATCTGAGGCTGGTTCTATTCATTTCAGAATCTGAACTTTGGAATTAAGAGGACCTGGATTTGAATCTTGGCTCTGCCATTTGCCGAGTGATCTTGGGGGCAAGTTATCTTGATGACATCAGGCAGTAAGGCCTACCTTGCAGGATTCTAACAATTAACTGAGACACTTCAGCTGAAACATATATAGCATAGAGCCTGGCCCACAGAGTGCTCAGCAAGTGGCAGCTACTATTGGTTTCATAACAGGAGGAAGGGCTCTTCATATTCATTCCCCTCCGTTAGAGATACCACACGATTGATTTTTTTAACGAAAGCTAGGGGAAACATCCTTGTAATATGTGCATACAGTTCCACACATTTGTCAGATCATCGGTCCTGAAAAGCAGCAGGAAGCAGTCTCCCCATGCCTCAGCCCTTCGAGCCTTGGGTTTCTCATCTGCAGAATGGCACAGTTGTGCCTTTCCTCCCTGCCTGCCTGATAGGGTCTGAAGTAAACTGAAGTAAATGAGAACATGCTTGTGCTGGCCAATGAATAAGCTTCAGTCACAGATGAAAAAGAGGTTTGGATTAGAAAAATGAGCAATGAGGTGAGGCAAGATGGGGGCTTAAAGAGACTCAGAGAAGCTGGGAGAGTGGTTGGATTTGCAGATGGCTGTATTTAAATGTGGAGATCTTGCTGGGCTGGTGCTGGATCCAGGCTTGTGAAGTGAGAGGCCTCTGCATAGCCCACCACTACCTGGTCAGAAGGCATCGCTTCTGAGTGAGTTAGGAAAGGGTGCCTTCAGGACACCCTTACAGTGTCGACCCTAGGACATAACACGAGTCGGTACTAAAACCAAGCTGGTCATACATACACTGGATTTTGAAACATACACTGGATTTGGGGGGAGCAGCTGTGAGTCCTCAATTTAGACAGATTTAGGGACCCGGGGGTCCAGTTTTTCTGGAGGGAGGTGGCTCAATGCTCTCCTGGCCATTCTCCAAAGCTCATGCTCCCAAAAATGTTTTACCTATTGAAGACCTCCAATCCCCAATCTAAGCTTGGTTTCAGAGGGTGCCTGTGAGGCTTTCTGGATCTTCTAGCATTCAGTATAAGCCCAAAGAACCCAAAATTGAGTCCTCTGCTGTGCTAGTGAGACAGGCAATGTAGTTACTTCTGGGATTTCTGAAAGAGACTCCGGAGGAGGCGCTGGGATAAATCCTGTAGTCTTATTGAACTCTATTTAAAATGGCAAAAAAAAAAAATCCGATTGCAGCCGGGCGCTGGTGGCTCACACCTGTAATCCTAGCTACTCAGGAGGCTGAGATCTGAGGATTGCAGTTCAAAGCCAGCCCAGACAGGAAAGTTCGTGAGACTCTTATCCCCAATAAACTGCTAGAAAACTGGAAGTGGTGCTGTGGCTTAAGCAGTAGAGCGCTTGCCTTGAGCTGAAGAGCACAAGGACAGCGCCCAAGCCCAGAGTTCAAGCCCCATGACCGACAAAAAAAAAAAAAATCTGATTGCCACCTCAGGAGTGGCAACTGGGTTTTCTCAAAGGGTGGTGCTTGGTTGGGGAGTGGGCCTCAAGGGGTAGAGTGCTTGCCTAAGGGGTAGTCTCTGAGGGTGTCAGAAAGTCAGAATGATTACAGCAGCTCCTTTGCAAGGTTGGAAAAAGTATCAAGGCACTGTAGTAAAGTGCCACTGTGGGCACTAATGCGTTAGCATCACCCTGAGAGGGCCTCCCAGTCTCCGGAGGCTTTCTTGCACTGCTGTAAAGAGAGGATATTGGCACATAGCAGTAAATGGTTGCTCAAAAAACTGCCAGTGGCAGGGCACTGGTGGCTCACACCTGTAAGTCTAGCTACTCAGGAGGCTGGGTTCTGAGGATCATGATTCGAAGGCGGCCCAGGCAGGAAAGTCCATGAGACTCTTATCTCTAATAAACACTCAGGAAAAGCCAAAAGTGGCACTATAACTCAAGTGGTAGAGTGGTAATCTTGAGGAAAAAAAACAAAAACTCAGGGACAGTACCTAGGACCTGAGTACAAGCCCCAGGACCAGCACGAAAGAATGAAAGAAATAAAGAGGGGGGAGGAAGAAAAAGAAAACAAGAAAGAGAGAGAGAAAGAAAGAAAGAGAAAGAGGGCTGGGAAGGTGGCTCAGTGGTAGAGTGCTTGCTTACATGCATGAGGCCCTGGGTTCGATTCCTCAGCACCACATAAGCAAAAAAAAAAAAAGTAAAAAGCCGGAAGTGGCACTGTGGCTCAAGTGGTAGAGCACTAGCCTTGAGCTGAAGAGCTGAGGGACAGTGCCCAGGCCCAGAGTTCAGGCCCTCATGACCGGACCCCCCCCAAAAAAAAAGAAAGAGAAAGAGAGGGGGGAAGGAAGGAAGGAAGAGAAAAGAGAGAAGGAAGAAAGGGAGGGAGGGAGGAGGGAGAAAGGAAGGGAGGGAGGGAAGGAGGAAAGAGAAGAAGAAAAAAGTTGCCAATGAACTCCAGAGGCTTGGAGACCCCCGGATTACTTACATTTGATTGTAAGAGAGGGGTCCTGCCAGCCCAGGGGTATGGTAGCTTTGACAGGGATAAGAATACCTTCCAAGTTTTGGAAAAGAAATCTCACTAAGTGATTCTCCTTGGCTGGAGTCTTCTCTTTGTAGCTCATTGGCCATTAGACTTAAAGAGGCCTTTAGCCTCTCTGAGGCCTTTCTTCCCTTCTATTAAGTAGAAACAACATCCCATGCTAACTGGGCATAGTGGTGCACACCTGTAATCCCAGCACCTAGGAGGTGGAGGCAGAAGTATGAGAGTTCCAGGGCAGTATAGACTATGTTGTGAGACCCTCTCTCAAAAAATAAGGACTGGAGATAGGACTCCGTGGTAGAGCACTTGCCTGGTATATACCAGGCCCTGGGTTTGATCCTCGGAACAATTTTTTAAAATTTCCCCAAACGACAACCAAATTATCTATTCTACCTTCCTCACGGCACCACCAAGATCAAAATGAGATCCTGGATGGAAAAGTGTTCCTGAAAATTGCTAATTAGATGGAAGAAATTGTAATTGAGGTGGAACTCCTGCTTCTGAATAGAAAGAGAACAGGATGCTGAGGTGTGTGTGGAGGGGGGCCGCGGGTGTATGAAGGGACTTCCGGAACCCACATGGTGGGTGAAAGCAGGGCTAGGAGACACAAGCCAGGCCTTTCCAAGCTGGAAGGGACACACTCCCTGGCCTTAAGGGACATCTTGAGACAGGAAGCAGAAGGCATCTGCTCAGCCAGCACCTGCCCCACTAGGCTTTCTCCCCCCTGGGAAATCTTGGGGCCTTTTGCTGGGTGTGCCCTGCCCTCAGCTCTCACCTCAGCTCTCCACCCCGAGGCCTGAGGACAAGGCTTTCCTGCCTCTCTCTCCCATGCTTTTAGGAAGATAGCTTCTGAGTACTTTTCTGCAGGAAAGGGATGGCTGGCACCCTGGGGACAGCGTGGGAGGTGGCCCTGCACTGGAGAGTGCCATCCCTGAGGGTTAGATTGGAGGCAGGGTGGTGAAGGTCCCCAAGTTTGCTGTTAGATAACTCCAGCACAGTGCCTTTGCATCTGTTGTCCCTTCTGCCCACAGGAACTTCTCCCAAGCACTTTCCTTGTGGACTGTTTCTTATTGTTCAGGTCATAGCTTAAGTGTTAGCCCTTATTAGAGGCCTTCTCGGACCACCTCTAGCTCAAGGACAACTTCCCCACTTAAGACCTCAGTGGTATTTTCCCACTTGGAATTGCATTGTTTCTTTGTTTATGTTTCTGCCCCCATCCCAAGGACAAGGGCTTAGTCTACCCATCCAATAAACACAAGTCCAATTAATTACTGAAAAATAACAGTAGCTACTGTGTGTTTAGGCCTGAGATTCCTCATGGCTCTGAGATGTAGGTGATGGCCCTTTTGCCAGAAAGTTCCTGACTTGAGGGTTGACAGCTAGGAAGTGGCCAAGCTGGGATTTAAGCCAGGCCTGTTCAGTTGCAAAACAAGGAAACATGACTTTAGAAACATGGTCTTTTTGTCGGTTTTAAGTCCCACCCCACCCTGCTCATATTCTTCACTTCCAGGCTGAGTGCACCTAATCATAGTCCTTTAGGATTAGAATCAACTTCCAGCAGAGGCCCATCAAGGTCCTCACCCTCTGCACCCTCCCCATTCTCAGGGTCTGGTGGTGGGTGGAACCCTGGGCTCCTGGCCTCATCCCCTGTATGTCCCGACTTGCTTCAGGGGCCAAGCCTGTGCCATAGCTGGCCTGGGTTTGACCTCATCCTGGAAGTTCCTCTTGACAGCCAGAGCTTACTAAGCAAGTACTTGCCTTGCACTGTGCTAGGTCCAGGTGATCAGGGTCCCCTACAAGTTTATAGTCTAACTGATGGGATTTATATGACAGTGTGCCAATATTGCCATCTTCAATGGGGATGGACAGTCATCATGAGCCCAAGCCAGTGGGAAGCGGGTGGGGGCTGCAGAATGGCACCTGACTGCCCTTCTAGGCATTTGAATAGCTGTGTCCATTTGATCCTTCTAACCTTGGCCTTGCAATCAGAAAGTGTAGAGCTAGGAGTTAAGTGGGGGTGGTGGGAGGTCCTTGTTCCACAGAGCATCAGCCCAAGGCCTTAGCTCTATGGGTTCCCCCACATGCTCCCCAGCTGGGCCTTGTGCTGACTGCCCATGGGTGACCTCACCATCTTTGTCCTGCAGCTTTCCACAGACCTCCACTGTTGTGGGAGCCACTGCCTCCCTCCCCCCCCCAACCCATAGGCCCAGGGCTTTCCAGCTGGCCCCTGGACCTGCTTCCCTGTCCCTCCAACTGCCCACACGTCACTGGGGACTAGTGTTCATTTGTAGTTGCTAGAGGCTGCTCTCCTCCCTGCTTCAGCCTCGCCCTCCGGAGCCTAGAGATGGGCTGGGGCTGAGAGCCCCTAGAGCCAGGCAGCAGTCCTGAGCGGTCATCCCTTTCTCTTTGTCTTTGCTGACGTCAGAAGGCAGAGTGCTTATTCACTTTGGAGGCACACTCGCAGGAGCAGAAGAAGAGAGTGTGCTGGTGCCTGTCGGAGAACATCGCCAAACAGCAACAGCTGGCTGCCTCGCCCCCGGAGAGGAAGGTAAGGCCTTTGCCAGCGGCTACAGCTCTGGCTACTTTGCTTTCTTCCCCTCTGCCAGCCTGGCCCGCAAGCCTGTGAACTGAGCTTAGACCTTGGCTCTGGGCAGCGAGCTTGGCGTGGTACCTGTGCTCGAAGGCTGCTCCCCTGGGTTTTCCTGCGGGTCCCATCAGTTCCAGTTGGCCTATGGCAAGGTTCAGTTTGGCCTGGCCTCCCTGCTGCTGTCTGGCAGGTAGCCCCTTTACCATGCCCTGGGGCAGCACACTGGTGTTTTAACAGTGGCTCAAGGCAGACATAATTGAGGGCATGTTTGCAACAGAGCCCGTCATGGTTTGATGCAGTCCAGAGTCAAACGGCACTGAGTTGGACTGCTGGGAACTGGCCATTTGGGACAGCAGGAAGATCAGAGATGGCCAGTGGGGACTGATCTGAGCTGGCACAGCCCCATGTCTGTGACAGAGGGCAATGGGATGGGAGCTGGACCACAGCCTTCTCCTTTGATATGAGCCACAGGGCAGGGTCATACATCCTGATTTGTGAGTTGCTCACAAATGGTCCCTTTTCTTGCTAAGTGTTGGCCATTTGGATTCAGTGTGGTTGGCTATAAAAGTTGCCAAGGTGGTGGTTGTGGTGGATCTGAAGGAACAGGTAAATGAAAGGGCTGTTGTGGTAAACCTGCTGGTTTTGTAGATTTTCCAGGCCTTTAGGCCACCATGCCTCACGCCCCAGGCTTAATACGATGGACAGCGGGCAGTGGGGGTAGTGGGATAAAGAAGTGGCCGACAGCTCCCCAGCTCTTGGCAAAGAGTGAAAATCTGAGAATTACATCACCCTAGTCTTCAGAAGTTATCTTTATACTGGCCGTGGGCAAGAATGAGAGAAGACAGTGGGATTCCTGAGTCAAACTCCACTAATGGCTGGCAGTGTAACCCTGGACAGGTCACTCTGCTGCTTTGTGCTTTGAGGTCCCCCTCAGTAATGTAGGGACAGGTTCTTCCTGGGCTATTGTAAGGATTCAAGGAGAGATCACATATATAGTAGATAGTATAGTCCCTGGTAAGTTGTAAGTGCTCACCTAACCAAAGCTGTGGGAATATCCTCTTCCCTCCAGGCAGCACTGCCTGGTCCCCACAGCCAGTGGTTATAAGCTGGGTTGACCCTTCCCTGGGGCAGCTCCTGGGACACTACATGTCTGAATATGGGCCCCTCACTTTTCTTTTCTGTGGGCTCACTTCCTCTGTTCTGGCAGAGGGAATTCTTTGTGTTTTGGACTTGAGAATTTGCTGGCTCAGGTTTAGGTCAGCCATAGTTCCTTACTGCCTTAGAGACTGTCCATTGTGGGGCTTGAGGTGGTGAGCACCTGAAGGCAGCCATGTCTGAGATAGGCTTGGGGGGTGCTGACTCTGGAAGGGTCCTGCATGGGCATCCATGTGGGCGGGCTGCAGTTGGACCCCTTGTCACACTAAGTTAGTGGAGTGGCCATGTGCATGGCCTGGTAGCGGGGGCGGCCTCAGAGCTGCCTCATGGACCCGAGACCCAGGCCATGTCCAGACTCTGAGCACCTGCTTGGATCTACCCTCCTTGTGAGGCAGGCCTCTGGGGAGCCTCACCATTCTGCCCTCTCCACCTCTACCCCTTCCATACCCACTTAAAGAGTCTTAGCCACTGATTTCCTCTAGTCACTTAGAGATTGCCTCCTGAGAGAGTTCCATTAAATACAATTCTCTCCAGGAAAGCTTTCATGGACTTTTTGTGACTGCCCCCCACCCACCTTGTTATCCACTTGTACTCAGATCATGAACCTCCTTCTCAAGGGCTGGTCCACAGCTCACCGTCCTCCAGGAGAGAGAAAGGCAAGGCCGAGCAGGGCTCAGAGACTGACTCTTGCATTTCAGGCTGGAAAGTCCTGCTTAACCAATGCCTTGAGTTCTGTCTGAGCGGCATGCCCTTCCCCCTCCTGAGTTCTCTATGTAAACGGTTGCCTAAGCCCCTGCCCTATTCAAAGGGCTCTGCTGGGAAAAAGGTTGCATAAAGCAACCTCCAAACCCCTATGCTTCCCCTGGACACCCCTGTCCCCCTGCTCCTTTGCTCAGTGTTGTTGATCCCTTGTAATAGGAGCAATTCTTCAACTGTCCTCAAGTATGGTAAAAAAAACTGATCAATGCAATCTGCCTGCCTTGTTGGGAAGGGTGGAGGAGGGGATAGTGGAAGGTCGACTCCAAATACGAGCACAGAGGTCTGTGTGTCACACCCAAGTGGAGCCTTTGACACTGCCCTGGCCTTAGTGGTCCCACCTGTGCATCGGTCAGGCTTTCTTTCCGGCTCTTCAGGTTTTCTGTTGGTCCTTAGAGCTGAGGCCTTGGGGCTATCCAGCTTCCCTCAGGGAACAGTGCCCTGAAGTTTTTGTATAACTTGCTGCCTTTGGCATCTGCTGCCCTGGCCAGAGCTGCTCTTCTCCTAGGAGTGACAAGGAGCAGACACAGGCTTTCTGGGCTGTGCCTGAGATGTTTATGGCTTGGTCCCAGCTGAGGCAGGGAAGACTTGGTGGGGATGGACCCGGCTTGCATCTCTGCTCTGTTGCCTTTCTCCTGCTCACTGTTTGCTGATCACCATTGGTGGGGAGGCTGAAGAGGATTCTGGGTGAGCCCGAAGACTCTCTTCTACTGTAGCAATACATGACCCGCCTCCTCTCCCATCCTAGCTTTCCACTCCTGAGCACCCTCCTTCCTTTGCTGAACTCTGCCCATCTTGCCTCATTACCAGTCCCTGGAAGACATCCACCTTTCTTCTGCCTGGATAACAGCCCACATTCAGCACTAAACTCCCAGCACTGCTGTGATGCTTCTCATTAGATCAGCTCAGTCCTGGTCCCTCCTGTGGCCAGCCCTGCTCTTAGCTGGTGGGGTGAGACGGGCGTATTGATTTTGATTATTCAATCAAACACACATAATGAATGCGTTCAACATTGCTAGAGATCTTTTAGGGTCACAGAGATGAATGGAACATAATCCCTGTCCTTCTGGACTTCTCCTTCTAATTAGAGGTGAGCAGTAGAGGCCAAGCCTGAAGGTCTGATAGTGGCCCAGAGGTCCCGGCTGCCTATCTGTAGTCCATAAGTAGGTCTTCTACTGGGTAACTCATGTACATGGTGCCAGGCTGGGATATAGAACCTTCTGAGCAGAGTAGGCTTGTTCTAGCCCTCAGAAGGCTAAGAGTGGGAAGTAGGGGACATATGTTTGGGATTGGCCTCATCCTAAGGTGGGCCTTGGGCCCCAGCCTGGGCTCTATGGCAGGAATGTGCAGAGGAATCCATCACACTCTTTTCTTGGGAGATGACAGTCTAGTGGCAGAGACAAATACAGCAACAATTCAAAATAACCCAGTAGCGATAGCATCTCAGGCAAGCCACCTAGCTGTGGCTGATAGTGTTTTGTCAGCAGAGTAGGTATGGATCACTCAGGCTCCTGTGAGGTCTAACCTGACCGTGTGCTTGGCAAAGGGACACACAAGAAGACTGTGACCTGCCTGCTGCCCATTGTCCTTGCTCTCTGTAAATGATGTCTGGGGAGGAAGACTCACTGGCGTCCTTTACTGACGTTGATGTGATGTTCTGAGTTCGAGTGATGACTACTCCTTATCATTTCCCTAACAGCTACATGCTGGGTTCCAGAGCCCAGGCAGGGGAAACTGAGACCTTCTGGGGTCTTTTCTGGCTATATGACTTCCAAATGTGGATGCCACCTTGTCACTTCCTCTGGGACAGCTAGAAATAGACAGGCCTTTGAGATGCCAGGAACTGTCTGAGTACTTTAGAAAGGAACAGAGGCAGATCATGGATGGAGTCAGGCAGTCCAGCCCGAGCAGTGAGCTAATTCCAGTTCTGTCTGGTTCCACAGAAACTCCACCCTTACAGCTCTCTCCAGCAGGAGATGGGGCCAGTCAACTCCACCAATGCTACCCAGGATAGAAGCTTTACCTCATCAGGACAGACTCTGATTGGCTGAGCAAACCCAAGGGCGGGACTCTGCTTCTGACAACTTAACCATTTCTGGGGCATCCCCTACCACACAGTAACCTCACCGCAACTGGACCCTAAATGGAGGACCAAGATGGTGGGCCTAGGGTGGCCCAAAGGGAGTGGCTGAGGGTGTTGTGTGACTAGCAGCGGGAGGAACAGTGATGTGAGAGGCCTGTGGCAGCAGGCAGTCCCCGATGGAGAAGACTCAAAAGCGCATTTCCTCTCAGAGAGGGAGGCTGCACGGCATCGGGGCTCTTGCCTGAGGGGCAGCAGGAGAGGTGACCCGGATAGTGAACAACGCCATGGCGTGCCGCTGCCAGAAGAGATCTCATTTCATCTGGACACATCCCCTGGCGTATGCTCTGGACTTTGGGGATGTCACCTTTGCCCCAGGCTAGGAGCTGGGGGCATTATGGAAAGCCAGATGGACGAGGCTTCTGCCCTCAGGAGGATTCCAGCAGAGGGAGAGCAGTAAAGAAACAAATCACCAGCAGCACACAGGAGACCTCACCCTGGAAAAGGCATCACAAATGCCTTCAGTGGGCATATCTAGATTGCTATGGGGAGGACATAGCCTGTAAACTGAGGCAGGGGGGGCAGGAAGACAGCTAGCTAGCTAAGGAGAGAGCAGTCCAGATAGACACAACAATTCACAAAGACCTCTTGAGCTGGGAAGGAGTGTGGTTTGTTAGATTTGTGGAGAGAGGCCAGCATGGCTTCAGCTCAGTGAGAAGGAGTGACCAAGTGTGGACCTTAGGGAATGACTGACTGACTGATTTTATTCTAGATACAGTGGCAGCTAGGGAAGGAAGGAAGTCACAGAGTCTCAGATACATGTCCACAAGGCCATCGGGAGGAGCCCAGGAATGTATAAGGTCAGCTTGAGGCTGCCTTAAGTCCTTCAGATGAGGGGGCGATAGCGATTATCTTGGTGAGTGACTGGAGTGATGGGTAGACCACCAGACTCTGGGATGAGAAGAGATGATTCTCCTTTCCCTTCATCCCTACCCTCCACTGAGTCTTGCTCTGGTCATGACATGAGAAAGGCTTTGGGGCCTTCTTCACAGAGCCCCCTTCTGGTTGAATTCTAGGAGCCACAAGAGGTTCAGCCTAGCCAAGGTGGGAAGATTCTTGGCCCTCAGGTCTTTGGGGGGGGTGTGGGCTCTGTATCCCCATCCTGGGCTGAGGATGAGCAAGCTGGGACCCAGTGCTGTGGAATCTGCCTTTGTTTGCTCGTGGCACCTATCATGCCACAAGGCCCCATGAAGCCCTACCAAGGGACAGCAGTGAGAAGCCAGTCTGCTCACCACCCTCCATAGCCCCTGCTTAGAACTGAAGAGCTCCCACACCCAACTTCTAACTGCCAAGACCCAGACGAAGAGGAGAAGCACAGGCCAGGCCTGGAACCATGGCTCATGGACCAAAAGGCTCTCTGAAGGACCAGGAAGGAAAAATGAGTCCGAAGGGAGAAGCAGGAGAGATGGCAAGGCCAGAGAAGCCCCCTAACCTTGGACAGTCTATGTCATTTTGTAAGTCCTTAGTGTCTTTAGAAAAGGCTGTTAGTTGCTGGTGGGGGGAGGATCATCTGAACCCCAGAATGATAGCCTAGAAGAGAGTATGTCTCTTAGTTAACATGCCTCCAAGTGGAAGAAAGCTCAGATTAGCACCAGAGATGGAATGGATCCGCTGGTGATCAGGCCAGGGCCCCCCAGGGAAGGAGATGCTGCCTGGCTTAGGCAAGAAGCCCAAATGATATCCAGCCTCCCTGCCTGCCAGGGGCCGGCCTGGAGGCCAAATCAGAGCGGCTGAGTGGCCAGGTCTGTACAGACAGCAAGCTGTACTTTGATTTCATTTCATTCCCTTACACAATGACATTAAGGGCAGCGTGCAGGAAAATCACTTGTCTGCGAAGCAGCACGCTTGTCTCTCCTCTGTCCCGCAGATAGGCACAGAAGACAAGAGCTGTGTCTACAAGGGTAATAGGAAATGTGACTGTAGCACTCAGCCCTGGCGATGTCGCCTCCTGGTTTGCCCTGACAAGCTGCTGGCTGGAACAGACACTACCATCAACGTTCCAGGCCTGCTACCTGGAAGGGAAGTGGGCCTGAACAGCTGGGCCCTGGTCTGGCCTGTTCAGCCACTGTGGTGAGCCACAGCGCCATTGCTGCTGTGCTTCATGAATCGATGCAACAATTAATTTGGCTCCATGGGCTCAAGAAGATGAAATATGACCTGGTGACCACTGCTCTTCAGCCTCCCAGTCCACCCCAGCTGTTCAAGATGATGAACAAGCTATCGAAATTGCATCTGAGAGTCATCATCACGGGAAACATGGCCAACGCCCCTCCCTGCCACATAAATCATGCTAAGAAGCACACAATGGCCTCTTTCCTGATAGGCCAATTGTCTTGGTGTGGTGTCTCGGGCCTAGGAGCTGGTAGGATAGACACACAACTATTTATTGTTGAAAGGCCATCTGTGTGATTTGAATACAAAGTGACCCTTTTAGTTCCCCACACAACCTCTGCTCCCTGTTCGCGTTGTCTTACGTCTCAGATTCTGAAGCCTTTGAGACCCACATCTCCTCTGTACATTTTTATGCCTGGATCTTTTGGCCCTTTCTGAGTTAGGACCATATGGACTTTTTTTTTTTTTTTTGCAAATAATGACATCTATTCTGTATTTTAGTTTCCCCTTCCCTCTAAATTTTGCCATCAAAGACCTCATTTGTCACACACGACCCTAAGGCCCCAGGAGGGTCTTACAAAGAAGTGCAGGCAGTTTTGCCAGGTGGGGAGGGGTCCCTAAAGTGAGAACTCCACGGTGAGCTTGGGCTTTGGAGATGGACAGCAGTGGGGCTCCCTAGCCTTAATCTCCTCAATGTCAACTGGAAGCAGCTTTTTCTGGATGAAAAGAGACCAAGGCTCAGAGAAGTTATGTGATTTCTCTCCAGCTCAGGTCTTCCAGCCTAATCCATTGCTCTTTCTAGATGCAAAGGTTGGCGTGAGAGATGGAAGGAAAAGAAGTTGAATGACTTATGTTCTCCAGAAAGAGGTGGGAGTCAGGTACCAGTGTGACTCAAATTGTGACCCTCGTAGCTGTCCAGGGGAGGGGTATATGTAGAACAAATAAAATGAGATGCTTACTCTCTTCTGGGTGGAGAATAGGCTTCCTGGCAGAGTGACCCAAACCTAATAGGTCAATCTCTTCTCACAAGGCTGATAAAAGCTTGATGAGAAGACAGATGGGAAGCGGGGTGGGGAGGAGGGAGTGTACTGGAATGGGTAGGGCCTGCCCCTCCCCACTTTGAGTCCAGCATGTAAGGGGGTCAGCAGACACAACCTTGTGGGGCTAGGAAGCACTGGAATGTGGCCAGGCCTTTGCCCAGAGCCCAGCTAAGGGCAGAAGAGGGCCTGTGCCTGCGGATTCCCTCTACCAAGATTTGTGCCCAGATTTTGCTTAATTGGCTGATTTAAGATCTTGGCTTTTAGTGTCCAGGAATCAGATGGATTGGACTTCAGTGCCCCCACCCCACCTCATCCCTCCCAAGCAAGCTCTTCTCTCCAAAAAAACTCAATTGTTTTCCAGGTGGCTTCCAGCTCTCCTGGAACTTCTCTTGCTACTGGTTGGGCTGAGGGAAGACTGCCTTCCTTTTGGGGCTCAGCCATTTTACTCTTCATCCTTTTTTTCGCTTTTAAGGAACAGAGAACAACCTCACCCTCGATCCCCAAACGTGTCTCTGAAGAGGGTTGCTCTCCACCCTCTTACCCTCCCCAGGTCCTTGGTTTAAGGTAGAATGAAAAGACTAGGTAATCCAAAGAGTGTCCAAAGAGTGCTTGTACTGTGAGCCAGACCCAGTGCCCAGCTTTTGACGCACATTGTCTTTTTTAATCTATGCTATGTCCTGTTGGGTTTGTGATCCTGTAACAGACTGACTCCTGTTATGCCCAGTGTGTCAATGAAGATGATGCTTTGTCTTAGAGAAGTTAAGAAACTAGCCCAGGATCACACAGCGAGTCTGGCAGCCCAGTTCCGGAATATCTACTTTCATTTATTCTGCTCTGAAGTTGAGTTTTCTTGGGACCACAGACCATTTCCCAGTGAGGAGCCAGGGAGCTGGGCAGTTGCTTCCCTGCTAAAGCCATCATAGAAGGCCCGGTCCAGGTTTCTACGTGGCTCTCCTGGTACATGGTCATCCCTCTTTGCCCCTGAAGCCTGGCCAGTAGGGCTAGTTCCCTTTCCCACAAAGTCATTGTGTCCATTCAGGGTTGTTGCCCCTGCCTGGTGTTTCCTGCCCATCTCTGCCATCCCTGCCGAATGCATCTGTAGCTCTTCTTACACACCTTGCTTAGATGTTCGCCTGAAGCTGCTGCTTCTCCTGGACTTACTTTGAGGATTTCTTTCATCCTTTGCTTGCCATGGCAGGCAGGCAGTCCTTCCCTGCAAGCCCATGAGCTCTTTGGGTGCAGGGGTCAGGCCTTACTTGTCTTTCATTCTGCTCTTGCAGAATGGCCCATCACATGTGCTCAGTAACCATAGCAGAATTGAATTGGGTTGCACAGTTCAACTCCTCTTCTATCCTAGAAGCTAGATGAGGAAGCAGAATCAGAAAGGGGAAGTGACCTGGTTTGGGTCAAGTTGGTGTCCGAGTCAGAAGTAGACCTCAGATCAGCTGACTTTTGGCTCAGGCCTTTTCTGTTGCCCTACAGCTCTGCAGATAGCAGAGCAGAGCCTGGTTCCCCAGTGTGAAGCAGTCTGTAGGTTCACATCAAGGTCATGATAACACCATATTCCCATGCTGACATGGGCATCCCCAGGGGAAAGCAAACCTAAGGAAAACCGCTGTGTAGTTCTCTTCCCCAGGTTTAAGGCTTCCTCAAATCTTACTCTGAGGAATGCCTCAGAGTAAGATTCAGAAGGCTTTTGCTTGAATATTGACTCAGCTGGTATTTACTGTGTGACCTTGGGCAAATTACTGTTCATTTCTGATCTAGAGAAGGAACTGGTCCAGGTTCATCATTGTCATTGCGCCAGCTACAGACATTGACCCAGCACCCCCAGAAGCAGTTCTTTGTGGGGTTTCAGAAGAGAGGAAGGGCAGGGTGTGGAACCTCAGGGCTCTAGAACAAGCAAAACCAAGCGAGTAGGTAAATACTTCCCATTGAAACAGGAGTGTGGTTAAATGAAAATGTTGTACCTGCTCAGTACCCACCATGAGCACATAGGTATGCTTATAGAGTTACTATTATAGTTCAGTTTTCTACCACTTCTTGGTGGCACAGCATTGTGGGTGAAGTAGGCTAACCTAGGAAGCTGACCGCCAAACACGACACTGTTTTCAATGGAAAATATGTTCTGAAACCTGTAATCAATGCTCACAATACTTGGGGATCATAACTCAACACCTGCTTAAAAGCATGGGATATATTTCTGTTAAGGGATTCAATTTTTGTTTAAACCATAGAGTTGTTTTTGTTTTTATTTTTGTCAGTCATAGGGCTTGAACTCTGGGCCTGGGCACTGTCCCTGAGTTCTTCAGCTCAAGGCTAGCGCTCTACCACTTGAGCCACAGCGCCACATCTGGCTTTTTCTGGTTATGTGGTGCTGAGGAATCAAACCCAGGGCCTCATGCATGCAAGGCAAGCGCTCTAGCACTGAGCCACCTTCCCAGCCCTACCATAGAGATTTTATTTTTTTGTTTTTATCCAAGACTGGGAGTAAACTCAGTATCTGATGCCACGCCGCCAATCGCAAACCATGCACTTTTTGAATGTGGTGCTTTTTAGCCTCCCCCATCGCTCCTGAGAGTAATCAGCTAACAAAACGATTTGTAAAAAGCAATATTAAGAGAGTAAGAACTTGGCCAAGTGCCCGTGGCTGGTGACTCTTACAGGTCGAGGGTGCCTAGGGGCACAGATGGTCCTCGATAGCTCTTCTCCTCCACTCAGCGGCCCACTGTGGTGTTAGGAAACACGAGTCGCCTCTCTGGGCTGTAATGGAAACAGCGAGGAACCAGCCAGGCTAATGGCGTGGGGAGAGGTTGTCTGGTCGGCTAGCTTGTCTAGAAATTCCTGGCGCGTTCTTGCTGGAGTGGAATGAATGGGTTGCTGTGTTTTACCTGGAGCTCAGAGTGCGGCTGGGCTGTGAAGACACTCCCTGTGGACCGGCCTAAAAATAGCAGTGGGAACGCTGTGAGGGGAAGAGGAGGGGGCTCCTTAGGGAGCTGGGTGGGGTCGCCTGGCCCCCTTCCTCTTCCTGCCAGGCCCTGGGTAAGGAAGTCCCACAGAGGCCCAGAATGCAGACCCCGGAGGCTCCTAGAGCCATCCGTCCCTCACACCACCCAAAGGGTGGGAGAGGACTGGCCTAGGGACACGCTCCCAGAAGGCAGGCTGTTTTCCTCTGGCCTTTTGAGGTTCACTTCACTGCTTCTGGGGCACAGGGCCTGGGATCCCCTGGGACGGGATGTGCTCTGGGCTTCCTGACAGTCACCCTGCAGGGGCGGAGTTCCCTGGCTGGCCCATTCTACAGCTGACCTCAGCCAGCATCACGCCTGGCCCTTGCTGACTTGTCCTCCTTGTCAAGTCCCACACCACTGCAGGGAAGGGAGGTCAAGGAGCAGCACACACACAGCTGGCCTGCAGGAGACAGAGCTGCCAGGTGTACCCTCCTTCTCTGCTCTTCTCAGGAATAGGCGGGCACAGCCAAGGGCCTGTGGCGGGCAGTCCAGGAATCCAATCAGCCTTACAGCTTACTAGCTCTGGGATTGCCGTAAAACAAAGCAAGATCGTTTTATCCCACACATTCTCTTGATGAACAGCTTGGATGGTTGTACAAAGCAGGTTCTCAAAACAGGGCCCGCTCCATCCCCTCCCCTGAGATCTCTCCCAGGGGGAAATAGCAGTGTTGTTATTCTTTTTTTAAAGCTCTTGACTTTTCCTTTTTTGAAGGGGGGGAGTGTTAGAAAAGTAACTCCTGTAATCGATGTTGATCATGAAGAAAACATTCCATACAGATGAATCTGGAGAAGAATATGAGGTTTGCCCTTCATCTCAGCACCCAGAGATAATCACTGTTAACATATTGGGGTATATTCTGTCGGGCACTTGTTTATACATAGATAATTCTTATTTGTAAATCTGGATTACGTGTGCAATTTTGTAATCTATTTTCTTAACAGGATAATGTATCTGTGTTTCCCTGTCAAATAAATAAATATTATTCTACAACATTTATTTTTAGCGCCTATAGAGTATTTCGTTGTGTAGATGAAACATACTTTAAGTTATCTCTAATAATCCAGTGTTTAGATTGTCTCCAATTTTTCCTTGTTACAAAACCCTGAAATAAAAGTCCTTGTAGACATCTTGGTGTCCCAGCACCCAGTGCAGTGCCTAGTACATGTTTGACTCTCAACAAATGTTTGTTGAGCAAATGAATGTTTTGTTGGGATAAATTCCTGATCATGGAATTTCTGGGTGGAGGTGTGTATATATGTAAATAGACTCTTGATCCTGTTTTTGAATCATTCTTTAAATGATACCAGTTTTCTTTGCTTCCTTCCTTGCTTGCTTCTTCCCTCTCTCTCTTCCCGCCTCCCTCCCTCCCTCCTTTCTTCTCTTTTTTTCTTTTCTCTTTTCTTTTTCTAGTACTGGGGCTTGAACTCAAGGCTTGGGAACAATCCCTTAAATTTTTCATTCAAGGCTAGTGTTCTACCACTTGAGCCATACCTCCACATCTGGCTTTTTGGTAGTTAATTGTAGACTGACTTCAAATTGTGATCCTCAGATCTCAGCCTCCTGTGTAGTTAGGATTACAGGTGTGAGCCACCAACAACTAGCAAAATGCACCGATTTCTAATCCCACTGTAGGGCCATTCATCTGCTTTGTCTATGTTTTTCTAGTGTTGATTTCTTTGGTTATCCCTTTGTGGGGCTAGGGATTTGAGTCTAGGATCTTGTGCAAGCTTGTCAAGTACCCTACCACTGATCTAAAATCCTAGCTCAGGATTATCTCTTTTTAGCATAACAAATTCTACTTTCTGTAAAACAGAGAAGTCTTGGTAAGAGAATGCTTAGTGATAGAGAATGCTTGTTTCTACCTGATGTGGTACACGCCTCTAATCCCAGCTACTTGAAAGGCAGAGGCAGGAAAATAGCAGTCTGAAGCCAACCAGGCACAAGTCTGAGACAAATGCTATACCACTTGAGCTACATCTCCAGCCTCTTTATGTGTTTTAACAGGTTTCCTTTGATTATTAGAGCCATTGAACATTTATTTATATTTATTGTCTCTTGGGAAGTAGCTTGTTCAAGTCTTTTGTCTGTTTTCCTATTGGGCTCTTTAGAGTTGAATTATTCATTCATAAGGAGCTTTTTATATAATAAGGATATGTGAGCTAGCCTTTTATTTTCTGCTTTAACACTAACAACTGTTTCTAATTATAGGCAGCCATCTATAAATTGCTTTGGTCGCTGAATTATTGTGACATAATTCAAATACAAATACAATGCACCCATCTAAAGTGTATAATTCATTGATTTTTTTTCACATATTCAGATGTGTGTAACCATCACCACAGCTGATTTTTATTATCTCAAAAAGAAATTGTACCCTTTGGCTACCACCTACCAGCCTCACCTCATCTCACGAAACCTAAAATCTGTTTTTGTCTCTGTAAATTTGCCCATAGGGGATATTTCATAAAAAGCAAATCATTTATTTGGATTTTGGTGACTGTCTTTGTTTCCTTAGCACAATGTGTTTAGATGCAAGCATGCATCAGTACCCAGTTTCTTTTTATGGCTGTATAATATTTCATCATATGGCTATACCACGTTTTGTTTAATCATTCACGAGTTTATGTACTTTGGTCTGTTATGAATAATGGTGCTATAAATACTTGTTTGCCAGCTTTTGTGTGGACATGTGCTCTTCGCTTGGGTAAATCCCGAGGCATGGAATTGGTGGGTCAGTGGTATCTTGATGAGCAATGATCAGGTTGCTGGCTGTAGTTTTACTTTGCTACCATTGATGAATGAGGATTCTAATTTATCCATAGCCTTCTTAACAATTATTTCTTTTCTGCTCTAAAATGACAGCCAACCTAGTAACTGTGAAACTGTATCTCCTTGTGATTTTGAATCATGTTATAACTAATGTCATAGCTATGAAATGTAAAACATATTTTTGTCTTGAATGTTATAGTATTTACCCCAGGATTACACAATGGATTACTTTTTTCTTTGAACTTTAGGGTTTTATTCTTTAACTTCTAACATTTTAATCTGTGTAGGTTTTTATTTTGCCCAGTCATTTGCAGGATTGGATGTCCCCTTCCCTCCCTTTGCCTTCCTTCCCTTCCCCCTTCCCCCCTTCCTTCCCCCCTTCCTTCCGTCCTCCCTTCCTCTCTCCCTTCCTTCCTTCTTTCCTTCCTTCCTTCCTTCCTCCCTTCCTTCCTTCTTTCCTTCCTTTCTTCCTTCTTTCCTTCCTTCCTTCCTCCCTCCCTCCCTTTCTCTCTCTCTCTCCTCTCTCTCTCTCTCTTTTTCCTGTTCCAGGGCTTTGAACTCAGGGCCCCATACTATGGCTGGCATTCTTTCACTTGAACCATGCCTATAGCTCAGGGTTTGTTTTTTGGTTTTGTTTTTTTTTCTGTAAACTGGATGGAGTCTTACAGACTTTTTGTTGGCTTTGAACTATAATCCTCCAGAACTCAGCCTTCTGAGTAGCTAGGATTATAGGCATGAGTCACTAGCACCTGGCTTGCATGTAACTTCTTGTTGCACTTTTCTGTTGGGAAGTATGACCCACACTGCTAGCATTCTAAAAATGCCTTCCTCTGTTTATACATGAGCCACTGGGCGCTATTGTCAGTGCATTATTACAGATGACAAAACAAGGGAGCAGAGATGTTAAAGGTGATTCGCATTCTACTAGCAGTGAGTGAGAAGTGTTTCCCTTCCCTGGCCTAACATAAGGTATATTGCTCTCTTAATTCTTTGTTGGTATGAGAAGAGAAAATTACTCTCTCTCCTAATTTGCATTTCTTTGATTATTAATAAGGTTGGACTTTTATGTTTATTAGTGTAACTATATTTCTTTTTTGGCTTGTCAATTATATTATTGTCCAGTTTTCTTGTTTGTAAGAGCTCTTTATTGGTTAGGATATTAACCATTTGCTTATTATACAGGTTATAAATATTTTTCTAGCTTGGAATTTGCCCATAACTATACTTATACTAATCATTTATCATCCAAATATTATCCTTTTGTTGATAATCAGATATTTTTGTATTTGTCTGTTTTAGATAATAAGGTAGCTATACATTGTCAGGTTTTTTCCTGCCCTTAGATGATAAGAACTATCTTATTTAGATACTTTACCTTTTATTTTGTGGGGGGGAGGCCATGTGCATGCACCTGTTGGCCAGTACTGGGGTTTGAACTCAAGAGCCTGGACACTGCCCCTGAGATTTTTTGCTGAAGTCTGGTGCTCAGTTCCACTTCT